GAAATGTAATTTTATGGGAACTACTGATACCACACGCATTCCAAAGTAAAAGAAAAGGGCTATTATTAGGCGTGGTATTAACTCATATTGGTTTTTGAGGCAATTGCAGCTTTGCACACGTGCACAGTTCATCCTCATGTTCCTTTCATACCGGCAGCAGAGCACAAAAAAAAAAAGGAAATACAAAATGCAATTTAGTTTTCTTTTCATTGAATTGTTGCTCTGCAGACGTCCTTTACTCGCCCCATGTGACTGCACCTATTGTTCACACAGGCTGAAGGCTTATTTAGACATGCTCCCCCCCCCCGCTATTAGTTGGTTTGAAGGGCCAGGAGTGTGTGAGGTTGCTTAGCAGATGCTGACACGGTGGGAGGCACTGACTGCTTCACCACAGAGGAGTGTTGTCCCCCTGGAGGAGGCAGACACAACAGACCCTCTCATAGCGCTTCGTTGAATTTCTTTGATCACATCCAGGTGCAGCCGGCGTGCTTTTTCCGTGTGCGGTTTACATAACGATAGAAGTGATGATTTTGGTGGAGTACGAAAGGTGTGAGCTCACCAGACCTCCGCGGCCCGCCTTTCTTATCTGTTTAAGGCAACGTGGGTCAATACGAGAAGGACATATCTGGGTTGCCAAAAAATGGTAATCTTTTTTTTTTCCATCATGAGTCATGACAAAGTCACTAAATCGAGGGAATACTCTTTTATCAGCTGAGGTCCATTAGTAGGTTATTTTACAATATGCAACACAGAATAAAACACACTGTATGCTTGTTACACGTTGAATACATTTCATTTAATATTTAATTAATAATTAAATAAATGTCCTCAGTGCATTGCACTCTGCTGCATCACCTCACTATACCAGAATATGTCTAAAAATGCATCATTCTCGGTCCTCTGTCTGTTTCCAGAGGGAGACCAAGCTTATTGTAAAAAGCGGTGCATGGCCGGTGTGTGGGAGAGAGAATGAATGACCTGGGGGAAGGCCGGGCAGCCACTCAAAGCACGTGTTTAAAAATGCAGACTTATCCTTCACATTTTTCCTCTCCGGCCCCCCTTCAGCAAACCCCCTTTTGTGAGAAAGTCCGACGTGTTTTTTTCCCACAGCGTTTTGGTCGTGGAACACTTGAAGAAGACAAGTGACGAGTGTCTGTACGTTGAATGACGAGCGTCCTTCCGCTTCCACCCCTTCCAACTCACTTTGGATTTAACCCGGTAGAAATGTCAAGGAGCCGCAGAGAGCCGAAGGAGCTCACTCATCGGCCCGTGATGGAGCCGGGGTCGGAGGTGGCAGTTACTCCACCAAAGGGTTAAACGCGTAGGAGCTCTGTCTCCCTCACACAAACATACGCCGACACAGAAAAAGCGTCCCTGTTGTTTGGAACTTTGAAACATCTGTGTCTCCTGTTCCTGCAAGTGTGGGAAAGAAACATTCCTCCAGGGTTTTGTCCTTTTTGCCGCCGTATCTTTCATCGCACTTTAAAAACACGAGGCCAAGGACGTCACCAACAGCAGGCACCGAATTCATTTTTTTCGATCGCCAGGGTGCTGTAACGGATCTGATTCCGAGGCTCGGTAGCTCGTGGCTGCCTGGTAGTGCTCGGCGAGCTCCTTCTATTCAGCCTGCTCTACCTAAAGAGAAGAGAGTGTGTGTGTTAGGCATTCATGCCCTTAATGCTCTCTGACGGTTACATTCCATTCCTCTTTAGTACACGCCGCAACTTCAAGTCCAAGCAGATATTGTTAGTCCTTAAGAAGGAGAGAGAGAGAGAGAGAGAGAGAGAGAGCGGTGAGTAGCTGGGGAGCGATGGAGGGTCAGAGAGGTTGGGAATTCATCTTGTGAAGGTTTTCTGCGAGTGCCAGCGCACTGCCTGCTTGAAAGGTCACAACCTGGGCTTTGAATCGATTGATGGGAATGAACTGGATGGGGCACGTTGCCTCTTTCTACTTTCACCTCTGTGTGTGTGTGTGTGTGTGTGCAGATGCATGGTGTGTTCTCAGAAGATGCTTTAAATGCTAAACCACTGCAGCTTCGAGCATAAAAAACAGCATTACATATTTCCACGAGGGAGCGTCACCTCTCTGTGGGACTCTCGTCTAGTATCAGCAGCTTCGTGTTTCCTGTCACACATTAGTTATGCGTGTTAAGATGTTTCTCACAGATTGTCCTGCAGCTGCATCAGTGGGTTTGTTAGCCGAGAGGGCGAATCGAGTCCCATGAAGAATTCGTTTCACACAGCCTCTGACAGGATCTGGCTGTCACAGAGATGTAACCACAAGTAGTGTGGGGTTTATCATGGTGTGTGACAGTGCCACATGCTTGGGTGTGTGTGTGTGTGTGTGTGTGTGTGTGTGTGTGCGTTTGTGGACATTTGCATAAATGTATTTGTCTATTTGAGGGGACATTCCAGTGGTTTGGATGTTTTTCTGTACATTTTTGTCTCTATCACTGCTTCTAGAACCCGTGGTGCCCCCCCCCCGCCAACCACATCTGTAGCTGGAGGCCTTGTTTACATCATTCACCCTCGTGAACGCAATATCTCCGCTGTGCATGGGGGGAATTTCTCGACAAATGTCCATCGCGGTCAACATGAAGGCACTGTTGTGTGTCTGAATCTAAAGCTTTTGATGAGAGGGCTTATACGTCTGATGGTATTCTGACTTTATGTTCTTTGTGTTCCTTTCTATCCGGTAATGCTCAAATGACCCCCTATACTTTTGTGCATGTTATCTCAACAGTAACACACAGTAGTTAGTGCAAATAAGCACCAGTCAGGGAGTGTTAAGCTAAAGCAGCCGGAGGTGACATGAAGAAGTAAATTATGGTGAACTAGCTTGTCCATCATTATCTCAGTGTTGATGTCATGATACAATAAAACATTTGAATTAGCTTTATCCCGCCAGGTGAAATTACAGAAAAATGTACGCAGCTATTCTTTGAAATCATTTATGAGACATCTTCTTGTTCTTGTGATCAGATGGAAGAATTGTAAATCTTTGTACGGCTGCTAGCAGTTTATTTTCTATATCAGGAAACAAAGAAGCAGGCAAACTGGAGCGGATGTTAATGGCAAGTCACTGTGAAATGAAATAAACGGGCATGCGGGACAAATGCACATGTTGAGGAGCCAGCATTTGTTTGGAAGTACAGACGACAGATGGTCTCCAGCTGCAAGATTTGACCACGGACAGAAGAATGAATCGTACCAGTTTTTTGAGAAGGTTCTGCATCCGCCCCATTGATCACTTGTTCACAGGACGAAAACCCCAGTTTAACAGCTGGATAAACGTAATGCGGGTCCTCAGGCCTCTGTACAGCCTCACCTGTCAGTCATTATTCATGGTTTCTGTCACCAATTATCTAGAGCTATAACTATTTTGTCCCGCTAGGCAAACATTGTTCATTGTGTGCAGAGTGTCAGTGGAAAAGGAAACAGTGGAATTCCTTTTGGCTGGAATGTCTGTGCTCTTCAGGGCGTGACATGTGTGTGTGTGTGTGTGTATGACGTTTGTGTATGTGCATGTAAATGTGCATGCCCAGCAGCTACCTGTTTCGCGATTTTGTCCCTTCTGGAAGTGCAAAAAAAGATTCAAGAGCAGGCTGGGTTTCTGAGGTGCGTGTCCTTTGAGTGGGCTGGAGTTTAAAGAATTACAGGGTTTGTCGAGAACTTTATCACGAGGGATCTATTTCTTTCCCAGAACACACCCATCTTAACTCCTATACCGAGAGTAAAGGTCGCTGCAGCCTTTTGAGCTAGAATGCAGTAGCCCATTCAGGAAGCAAATGTGTGGTCCTGACAATGACAGCACGGGTGGGTTAACACGCCGGCTTTAAGATCAGGCTCAGCCAAGGCTACTCCATAAGTTTGAGGTGTATTTTTTTTTTGCATTAACGGTAACCGACGGGTTCAGATGAAAACCCCTCCCAAGGGACTGGGATGGTTGGCTGCTCGACACCACCGAAAAGAATCTGGCTAGTCAGCGGTTTCCTTTTGAAAATGGCCCGGGATTGTTGTTACAAGGGTGTTCAGTCAGGGGAAGGGGGATTTGTGGGGATATATCTAGTTATTTATTAGCCGGAGCCATTTAAATAGGAAAACCACCAGGACAGAGTTAGGTGGAAATAGGAACTGGCGGACCATACCAACTGTAAATGCCGCGGGTGGCATCGTGCCATGGTCGTATCCAAACTTATAGGCGCAGTCTGGGCACACTGGATGCTGAGATAGATAACCGCGTCTGCCCAACCTTGGTGTCATTGGGAATGTGTATGTGTCTATCAGGCTCCGTCTCTATATTCATAGGACTTGTCCGGTATTGTATTATGAAATCAATTCTGAAATAATACCGTTGGACAGTACATACCGTCAGTAAAATAAGACTTTTATTGGCATATTACTGTGTTTTTTACTAGTTAACCCCCCACTAGGTGTGGCTAATAAATGTTTTTTACCACTTTGGTCCAGACTTTAAAGCAGGTGGCCTCATGTTTCTGTGATAGACTCCTTACTAATTCCACAATGGAGCTGGTTATGTTTTGTGGTTGTTTTTTCCACCCGGGGGGGATTCTGAATCATACTTGTCATCCACTCAATCTGATGTCAACCTCAGCTGCTTTCTTTGGCTTTCATAGTCTTGTGTCTTGTGTGTTCCCCGTGTGTGTGTTTGTGTGTGTTGTGTATCTATGCGTGGGTCATTGCAACCAGCTGTACAAATCTGTTGCCGGCTTCTACCTTTGTATTAGAAATACATAGAACGAATTGTCCTGATTTCTTTAAACAGTATTAAAAAAAATCTTTGCATGAGCTTTGTTCACACCAATGTTGTTTGTATGGCATTGGTTGCAAAGGCCTTGAGAAGATAATAAATGGTAAAAGTAAACACCTCACAATCCCCTGTTTCCTGCCTCCACCCTTCCAGTGTCCATGTGTAGTACTGGGCGTAACCTTTCTCTGCGGAGACTTCAACCCCTATAAATCTCTTTCTGTTTGCTACAGGTGACTCAGGCCTCCAAAGTTTGGGGAGAGGTCCCTCTGCCAGAAGACTTGGAGGGCGAGAGAGCGGTCCTGGCGTCTCAGAGCTTGCTGGACGACGACGAGGACTTTGCCGCCGATGGAGTTTCAGGAGGTGGGTTTGATGGAGGCCGTGTCACCACAAACCAAAGCTATAGCTGCCCGTAATTCATTAGAGATGTTTTGCACCCATGCATTCCTTATGTTATATGTACTGGTCCCAAAACTAGATATGTATGATATAAGAACTCGGATGGTTTCATGCTTTATATAAACACTGATGTGCAGGATTCACACTTTTCGGGAGGAATTTAGAGCTAATTTTATTTTACATATGAGCATAACACGTGATCTGTTTTCACGGTTTGAACCAGCACACTTCACTATAAACCCAATTTTCTTTCTTCAAAGATCTGCCCAGTGGAGAGGAGGATGGTAGCACGCCTGATGTCACAAGCACAAGTAAGGGACCAGAGCATCTATTGAATCTAACCATTTTTCTCCTGGCAGATTTTGTCGATGTGCGGTAGATAACTCATCCGTCAAAAAAAGCTTCCCTATTTGTGACTCCCAACTTCAGTCGCTTCGTGCGGTGTTGTGTGTGTGTGTGTGTGTGTATGCGTCGGTGCCTGAATGATGATGCCGTCACATCCTAATACACCCTCTCCCCCTGTCCCTTCCAGCTTGCCACAGTCTGGTCATAACACACTCGTTCAGCTTTGTCTTTGAGACAAAAGCATCTCCACTCCTCTTTCATCTTTTAAACCGGCGGCCGAGGCGACAGCACAATGAGATATATGAAAGCACCCTGAACAATAAAAGTTGCAGCAGAACACGTCCGTTTGCCTTCTACTCAAATGCTTTTTGCTATTTCCAGCCCTCTCACTTTTTGTACACTTTAGGATTTATTTGTGGGCACCTCGTTACGTCACAAAAAAATCTAATAAATAAATAGTATATTAATCCTTGAAAGATGGGCCTAAATATTTAATCTGTGGTTTACTGCTGCGTGTTACTCTTCTGTTCCTGGACAATTTTATTGTTTTTCCTGTCTAAAAATGTCATGGAAAATAATTCTAAAAAGTCAAAAAGGTTCCAAAAATGTAAAAAATATTAGTTAAAAAAATATTTTGAAAAAAAGTTTAAAAAAAATATTGGGTCAAAAATGTGTTTAAAAAAAGGTATGTTGTATGTTTTGTCAGACATACATGAGAACAAAGTAAAAAAAATGTTGAAAAAAATTATATTAGGTTGAAAAGTTGAAAATATATATATATATATATATATATCATGAGAAAAAAAGTCCAATTAAAGATTAATATTGGAAAAAAGTAAAAAAAATAATATTCGTTTGAGAAAAAATACATTATTATACAGTTTCTTAACATTAAAATACTTGATATCCTGACAGGTCAGATCATATTCCTATTGAAAACAAAGGCTGGTAAAAGCTGCTGCTTCTCATCACGTCCTTGGTGCCAGACGCTGGCACTCGTCTGGTTAGCCGGGCGGATTACATCATGGCAGATGACTGTTTTGGTACCAGCATTGCAGGCTGACATCATAGCTGAGGTGCATCATGTGCCTCGGTCACAGAAATAGAGCCACTGTGAGGCCTCTCTGAATTTTTATTAAAGTAGCCAGAGTAGCTTTTAATTATTTGTGTGGCCTTCAAAGCATGTGACAAACCAGGCTGTTAATATAGGTTTAAAACGTTTTTTAGCAGCGCTATGATGAAGAAAATATAAATAATAATTGTAAACACGGCTTCACAGATCAGGTCAGTTTCGACCACAAAAATATACAAAAGTTTGTGCGACTGCATTAGATGGGAATGTATTTTCGATTACTTCGCTCACATTTTGTGGTGTGAGACCCACCTACAAAAGTTCCCCATAACTTTGGTTAATTGCATCTGTTTCCATGAACTTCCTGGCTTTTGTAACCACTCAAAGGTCAGTGTTGCTTTAATGTGCCAATTAAATGCGAAACTGAGATTACGCAGCAATTTATTTCACGTATTGTGGAATGTCAAAGGTGGCAATATATTTGGATTCCGCTCGGTCTGATCCCGGTGCCATTAGGGGAGACAGGCCATTTCCATATATAGTTTTGAGCCCAACAGCAGTGGGAAGGAAATTGAGTTTCCTGTGCATAATGCTGAATACTTTCTATGAGATTCTCGTCCTGTTGGCTGTCCAGGCTGTTCATGCGAGCCTCTGCCTTCCTTCCCCCCTCCACTACTTTGAAGTGGGAGATGTATTTACCACATTCGCCCCGATTACGGCTTATTTCCTGTTGTGCCACTATTTGCCTACAGCTATTGAATTCCCATTCCCCTTATCCTTACCCTCCCAGAAGCCAAGATGAGATTATTTTTAGCCTCTTTATCTTTTTTTTTGCACATAATCATAGTCTGCAATCTCCTCTGGGGACACGAAGGTTGCGCCCCGTGTCCTCCCAACCTGTCTTGACCTACACACTGAGATCCCAGAAGTGATTTCTGGGAGACCAAATAGAATTTGTCTCATCTGTGAAAGCCTTTCGTTGTTTCGCAGGCTCCATCACAAACATTCCCATTGCACCAGGGATATTGGCCACATTGTTGAGAAACCGAAGAAGCAAAGGTCACCGTGTCCCACTTTGTAACGGGGATGGGGGATAAATTCTTCCCCGGGCTAATTTGGGATGAAAACCTTGAGAAGTCACATCCACCGAAAAAGTCTTTCTCAAAGATGGTGCCATGTATGAAAGTCGCAGTATTAGAAAGAACCTTGGGAAATATAAAGTTAATTCCGATGTCGGACTGTGACGCAATACACTCAATCTCTCAAAACGTTTCTGTCGGAGACTTTTCTTTTTACAGAAGTAATTAATTATTGCATATTTGCTCTGACACAGATTGAACTAAATGTTTAAATTCTAAACACATGCTGTATATACAAGCATGTTCACTGCTTTATTATCCAAATAGAACATTACTCTTAGCTGGATCAAAGATTTTGGCCATATCAGCAAGCCTTAGTCGATATTTTTGTTATTTGTTTTCTCCAGAGAATAACAGATGTTGCAGCATAAGTGGCCCATACATCAGGATAATGTCCCCTGTCTCTCTCTCTGGCCCGGGCAGTGAACCGGCCGCTGCTTTCGGCCACCCACTCACTATTCCATCATGAGCGAGTGTGAGATGTGCGCGTCTCAGTGGCACTGCCTCCGCGTGTGTGTGTGTGTGTGTCGCATACTCCTGGGCAGTTACGCTCGGGGGGGGACGAGTGCTGGCAGCTGCTGCTATTTCGGTGAAGTCTTTGTTGTTGCGCTGCCGGGGGGCCCTCAAGGTGGTCACAAAATGACCCGAGAGCGAAGTAGAAAACTACGTTCGACAACGTAATCAGAGGACCCGCTCCCTTCCCGTGGACGCGGCAGACAAAAGGCGAGGGACGTGTTATCGAAAGCCGGGTTTGGTCTCAACTTCAGTCTGAATTGTCAGGCGCTGATGAACGCCATTCACAAACTGCCTAATGCACATCGAGGGGAGCCGCGGCTGATTTGGACTCGAGCCTTATTACTGCACCTTACCCCGTGATGCTTCCCTCTGTTGTGCCAATAACAAATGTGTTGCCTTGGAGAACTTGCCTGTGCTGCTCCTCTTTAGGGAAAAGATGTTGAGGGTTGCACAGAACGAGAGCGCGTGCAGCTGTTTGAAGGACTTCTCTTCGGTCAAGGACAGGCTTGCTTGCGACTAGTACCTCAGTTTATTTTCTTTTTCATCACCTCGATGATCTCTCTGAAAATACCTTAAATAGGAGGGAAAAAACGCGTTTGTTGTGTCACAAAACAGCTGCTGCATTGGAACTTGTGGTTGTTGGCAGGGCTTCCAGTTGTCCTGTAGTTTTCCCAGATTTGAAGGTTTATTTGGATAAAAGCTGCACAGGCCTCCTGGTTGTGCACTGGAGAATATCTGGAGCAAATAGAAACCTCTCCTGGGATTTGTAAAACTGTTAACTTTCGGCTGTACACAGGCACTTACTCGAGATATCGCTTTTAATCCCTCGACTGGTGGGAGGGGTTTGTTCGCGGGGTTCCTGTGCGTTCGTGGTCTTATACAGTGAAGGCCTTGTTTCAGTCACTGATCACCATAAACGAGTGAAGAGTAATAATAGAGCTGTTACCCCCCATCTGTCTGGCTCTCGCTCGCATTCGGACAAGGGTCGCAGCATATCTGCAGTCTTTCATGTAGTGGATATTTCATTACCTTTAATACTCTGCATTCTTGGCAGGAGATATTGGGATTTTTTTTTTCTCTCCGTCAACTCTCAACCTTTTTAGTAACAGTTTTGCAGCCATCGCAGTGAATCTAAAGGTAAAACTTAAAAAAGAAAATTGTTATCAATCCTCACTCCTCTTTAAGACATGCTACAGTAATGATGCATTAGGAGCCATTAGTTTATTTTTATTTTTTTGTTTAAACAGCTGTACAGTTGGATCCGACACACCTACTTCATTATGAAGGAGCTGTAGTTTACTGCTGCCCCTCAAGGCTTAAGGAGTGCAGTCACACACAATCCGGATCCGAGTGTGGACATCAGTCTCGTCAGCACGGTGTCAGTGCACTCAGAATCTGTATTTAATCCTCGAGATTAGATAACAACATTTTTCTATCGAAAGACAGCGAACAGACTCTCAGAAGGCTTTGCAGACCGAGAAGACCCCGAGAGGCCTGCTCAGCTGACATTTCATAGCATGTCCCACGGTGTAACTGCATGCAATGAGTCACCGCAAAACAGAACACGGTCATTGTTGCCTCTGCCAGTGCAGAAAAGCTTGACTTTTGGTGAAAAAAAAACAAAAAACGTTCATTATGGAGCTCAGTTCTTTCTATTTCGGAGGGAAAACAGGAAGCGGCTCCTCCCTGCGTCACTGCAAAACCCCAGGGTGTGTGTGTCTGTGTGCGTGTGTGTGTGTGTGTGTCTCTGGAGCGGACAGCTGAAGGGTACATTTTGGCACATGGAAGCATGTGTTTGGTTCACGGGATATCCTCTTTGTTCTGCTGGAGCCAAAGATGAGTCGGTTACAGGGAGAGATGCCCTCTGATCTTTTGTCTTTGACTCTCTTACGCCAGCAGACGTGTGTGTGTCTCCGGATGCAGGTGTGCCCGCAAGTCATAAGCGGCGAGTAAACAAAACCCACGGGACCCGTTGTCCCGCCGAGCACCGCCGTCCACAACGATTCGTCCCACGATTAGTGGGATTGATACTGACATCACCAGCTTTCTCATAGAATTGGGATGACAACCTTGCACTCCACTCCTGCTGTCTGAGCTGTTTTAACTTGTGTATTTGCATCGGTTTACACTATAGAAGCTTTATGCCAACTATTTGCATTTTCCTAAATGTTTCTGTTCCCATAATGACCCTTTTTTCTTCATATCTGGAGAACATACATAACCCCCAGTCAAACGGGACTGCAGTCTTTATTTTTTTTATACCTGGATCCCTCCCCTCTCTCGTCTTGAGAGCGCTCTCCTATCACCTGCTCCGTTCAGTTGTGCGCTCTCTCGCCTCCGAACGCACTCTCAGATGACATTCCGAGTCCGGCGTGTCTTCTCTACCAAGCGTCACGCGTGCTTCTCTGCCTCTCTCTCTCTCTCTCTCTCTCTCTCTGTCTCTCTCTCCTCCTCTGAGGCGTGTGGAAAATAAGTGAGTTGTTCCATTGAGTAATACAGTTCGCCAGTCAAGTGGTGACACTTCCTTTTCCAGCCCAGAACATCTTCGTAAAGATATTATGGAAATACATGACTGTTCATTACAGCGGACCGCCCGACACTTGCTTAAAAAAAAAAAAAAAGTGTTCCAACAATTTAATTTGAAAAGGGCTTTTTGTAACTTCAACCCCATGCAGATGGCTGATTACTATGATGCAAACCAGCTGTCTTTGAGAATCACTGCAACATGGAAACGGGCTCTGTCGTACACAATGGTGTTTCTATTATGCTCGCGAGCCGGGGGAGAGCGCAACGGGGCAAGCGTAATAGTGATTCCAGAGGTTACTCCCTGGAACTCCCCAGAGGGCACTGAGTGGAGACTTGGAGACAGAATTTCTAGGCTTGCCACCAGCAGGGGTTTCTGTTCACAGTTAAACTGAGAAAGAGACTTGTGTATGAGCTAAAAGGAGAGAGGAATATTTTTTTAAATTAAATTAGAGGGACAAAGTAGAAAACCTTACGAGGGGTGAAAACATACGCTATCAAAGAGTTTTGATGTGTTTTCGGCCTTTTTCCCTCATAGATTCTCTGTAAGTGACCCGGGTGGCGCTGGGCCGATGCCGTGGGCGCAGCCCTGAGGGGTTGAAGGTCAAAGCCCGTGTGGCTGGGCTTTTAAAGGACAAGCCGCGCTCCCTGCTCAATCAAGTCTTTGTCTTCTGCAAAGGCCTCTACGTGTTCAGAGGGGCCCATTGGACAAAGCCGCCACAGTTCTACTGAACAGATTTAATAGCGCAATAAGTTAGTGAATTAACAGTATGGAGTGCTATAATTCCCGTCACGTCGGCCCTCCGACAACTGCATCGCTCTTGATGGTTGTCGTGCTTGACCCCCCCCCATCCCCCCCCCTCCCTCCTCACCCGCTGGATACCGAGAGCGATGCACAAGAGAACGGCTCTCAAAAGAGTCAAAGAGCCACGGGACAGCAGCGGGGCACAAACCCGCCACTCTAATCAAAAGATCTCGGGCGGCGGCAGTGGCAGTTCCACACTCGCCAGTCGGTTAGCGTCAAAGCGGAGAGTTGGGGGCCCGCGAGCTGCTGTTGACCTCGCGGCGAGTGCCCACTCAAGGGATTAGATTATACGCGGGTCAAATGAGGAGCTTTGATGACTAACTTTGAAGTTGCCTGTCTTCTGGGTCCACATTCAAGCCCTGACTATTAATCCTATTAGTCTGACAGTAACAGCCAGCACTCAGGCACCCTGCCAGGCTGAGCGAAAGCCTGCAGTTCTGTTGTTACACGTTCACGTTGCTGTGGGTTTTCACAGGCGCTGCTCGGTTTGCTTTGTCATAAATGCGGCTTTTCCTCACCAGTTTTGTAGTGCCAATGCTCCGGGTAAGGAAAGAGAATTTAGCAGGAGGGACGCGGTTAACCAGCCGGAGCTCAGGCAGTGGAGCAAAAGGGGGAAGGGTTCTCAACAGGCCTTGAATGCAGATAACGCAGTTTGAATGTACACAGACTCTTTTTTTTAAATTAGGTTTCTCCTGGTAATCATGATGTCCGAGATAAATTGTCCCGCCTGCGATTACCCAAGGAGACGGGAATTAGAGCAAACAAAGAAACTCCAAGGATATTAGTGATTCCTCTTCAAGTGTTTGCCTATGTATTCCTTTGCAGATAATTGGGTATGTTTATTTGTACATTGAACATGACTGTTTTTCGGCATAGCAATTACCGCCTGAATGCAAGAAACGGCTCAAATATTGACTTCCTCCCTAAACCCACACTGCCAGTGTGAAATCAGAAGCTGGCTGGTCCTTCCTAACAACGTGTTGGCAGGCATGTGCGAACGGGGCACCCAGTGGGCCTTTGCTATTTTAAGTTGCATGGGGCTGAGCCCATGGCATCGGAGTTATTATAATGCAGACTGCATTTTTGTTGATGATGAGCTAACAAAAGTATATTAGTGGAGTAAGGGTTGGATGAATTCACTTTTTAGAGGGTGTAGGAGGGCTTAGGAGATAACAATGTGGTGTATTGAGATCATGACTGGGGAGTCAACACAACTCTGGAAAGAGTCGATCCTATAAAAGGACGAGATGCGGTAATCAAACTGGTGCTTACATGTGCCAAAAGTGTTAGGCGCAATGTCCGTGTAATGTATTTTAATACAAATCCCCAAAACGTCATGACACATTGTATAAAAACTCTTTTGTGGTCCGTCCGCATATGTGGTGGATGGGTGGAGCTAAATGAAAATGTGCAACTGTCAAACAACCGTCACAAAGAAATGTAAAATGTAAAAAGAAATGACTTGTTAAAATGTGAAACGGGTGTTGAGGCCACCTTTGACACTCCTTCCTCCGCAGCCGCGAGCACTGCAGTGACACTCAAACTCCCTTCCAAATCTCTGACACCCTCTGCGTTCAATCAGGAGAGCCTCTGCAACCTCGTGGCCATGCTGCTTTGGCTGATACGCACATTGTCTTGTCTATATAACGTCTTTTGTTGATTAGCTTTCATACAAAAGGGCTTTATCAGCACCTGTCTGTGGCATGTGGTGAGTATGCCGTGTCTCCCCGTGTCCATAACCCAAAGAAAGACGCGTACAGCGAGGAAGACATGCGCTGATACTTTAGTTTCATGGTTATATTTGGGTGTATATTCGGGAGCAGCCTGTTATTTGCGCCTGGTGTGTGGTGCAGCGCGAACCCGACCACAACTGAGATATGGAAATAGATGCCATAATTTGTCCATGGCTCTCATTCAAAGTCATGCTGCTCAGTTTTAAATCTCTGAAATATTCAACCAAAGCCTTCCCGGAGAAAAACGACTCCCAAACATTATCCCATATCACATTGTGTTTGATGAACTTAACCTCTTAATCTTGTATTATTATGTTGGTTTATAATATCTGAAGTCCACAACAGATGGACATTAATGCCGAGCCTGCGGTCGTTGGGTGCTATTGTATCGTTTGCCTGACGGATTCTCCTCTCATCTCTGTGTTTCTAGTATATTACAGAGCTCTTGTCAACTTCACTGACTCCCTGGTGTACGGCCCCGAGCTGGAGGACATCTTTTCAGTGGCCTTTAATGAGATCTCCGAAGCAGTGGTGGACACGGTACGTCCTATTGTAACAGGGTGGACTCAACTGTATTACAGGACGATGCTGGTTATTACGTGTTATTTATGACTTTGCTGATTTCAGCATGTGTGATCTCCTGTCTGAAAATAAGCCACCTGGCTTGTATATTTCAACTCAACTCCTGTCTGGCTTTCTCTCTCGCAGCTGGAGTCAGACTACAACCGGATTCCGGGTATCCAAACAGTGAACGTGGTTCTCATTAAGTAAGAACAGATCCTTTAAATCGTGCCTTGTCTTGCCTTCCCGCTAAACCACCTGCGGGGCACGACGCAGACTCACCGGGCTTTTTCGTTGCTCTTTGCAGGAAGATGATAAGAGACGACGGCGTGGACGTGTTCGTGGAGATGGACGTGGGTTCCGACGACAACAGCGATGACGATCAGATACGCAGCGTCCTGTACAACGTGGTGAAGGAGGGATCCATCGCTTCCTACGTCACATCAGTCCAGGGCTTTGACTTCAGGCGGCTCGGGGAAGGTAAGACCTCTGCCAGGAGGGCCGCCGCTTAACACGCGGGCGGGAAGTGACTCTGTTAGCAGATTAAGATCCACCAGAGCGGTAGGCGGGGCCCTTAACGTTTCCCTCTGGTTTCTAGTTGATCCTCGAATGGAGCGTATAGCAGCGCCAGGTTTGTACTGTGCCAGGCCCCCTGCATGGTGACTGAGCCGACTGTACCGTAGAAGCTGTAGTGCCTCTTAGAAAGAACAGTCGAGCACATCCTATGTTTTTTTTGTTGAAATCGTGCGATGACCTTTACCTTGAGATGTACAAGCAGTGTTCGTGTGGTTTGAGGAATGTTTTGCATGGCAGCACCAATATAAAGTAGACTTCTGAGTGTCCGGGAGGTCCACAGTGAAAAGGATAAGACCTTTGCATGGCTTGAGTTTGATTAGTAATGCTGCTGTTCACCGCAGTCTAAACCAGTTTGTTGATTCACACAAATCCCACCAAATCATTAAACAGGCATGGCAACCGGTAGATAATACTTCCAACTTCATCTTTAAATTCAAAAGATTGAAGTTGTGGTGTCTATACAAAGTTGTGGCGTCTAGTCAAGTCGGTCCATCCATCTATCCAAAGAACACGCTTTTGTTTTCAGAATATCCTTGATTATTGAGTGTCGCACGATAGTCTTTACAACCTGCCACGCGCTTTACACCCGTTGTAGTAATCTGACGGCAGAGAGGCCCAGGAAGCTTTGGGTTGTTCCACCTCAATTTGCTAGTAGCTGAACTGTAGCCTCTGCATCTCTCACAGCAATCTCCAACATCAGACCCTGCACGTCAGACGAGCACAGGTGTGGGGATGGGACATGTATCCTGATGGAATACCTGTGTGACAACAGGCCGGACTGCAGAGACATGAGCGATGAGACAAATTGTGGTGAGTGGCTTCTGCTGGAGTTGCAACGCGGGCGGCTACAGCTATGGAATAGCGGCTTGACGCGGTCGTAACCGCTCCAAGTCAGAACTTTGTTCGCAGGGTTTCTGAAGGTTAATCAGAGATTTGTTTTAGAGATAAAGCCAGAGCCTCCAGTCCCCACCACCGCTAAAACCACAACCACCGCCGTCAAGAAGCCCCCCAGCCCACCTGGACCCTGCAGGGCGGATCAAGCCAAATGCCAGAGCGGAGAGTGTATCGCCCGGGACTACATCTGTGACGGCGAGAGGGACTGCTCGGACGGAAGCGACGAGCTCAGATGCGGTACGCACCGCGGACTCGTGCGTCCTCTCCGACAACAGCATGAGCACTAATTACCCTGCGTCTTTTCACAGGTACCCCATCGCCCTGTGAACCCAACGAGTTCAAATGCAAGAACGGCCGCTGTGCCCTCAAGCTATGGCGTTGTGATGGAGACAACGACTGCGAGGATAACTCTGATGAAACGGACTGCCGTAAGTGTAAGGATTACAGGTACTAGGACCAGAAAGCATAAGTCGGAAACAGAGATCCAATCAAAGTGCTTTACTTGATCAGTCAGGGTCGAAAACCGGGATATCAGTCCAGAACCAGGATGGCATTCAGACAAATCTGAAAAGGAGCAGGCAGGGAATTGGCGGTCAAAGAGGCAGGCGAGGTCAGAACAGGATATCAGCGTAATTGAGAAACGCTGGGAAACTTGGCATACACACAAGACAATCTGGCAGAGGGCAAGTGCAAGTGTGGGGACCTAAATAGTGAGGGACGAATGAGGGAATGGACGATAGGCGGGAAGGGCATGAGGACCAGGTGAAGGGAATGAGATATGATCTCGTGTTGATGACAGGATCTGGAATGACCGTAGAGTTAATCGGCAAGCAGGCAGGCAGAAGAAAGGACTAATAAGACGAGAATTTGTCACAGTAGGTAGGTAGGTAAGTAGGTCCTTTGGCTTTCCTGAGTTTGAATAGGTCAATTCCTCTCCTAGCTAACTGACTGCTGTGATCCGTTTTGTCATGAATACAGCCACCAAGGGTCCCGGCGACAGGTGCGCTCCCAAGCAATTTGAGTGCCTGAACGATCGCACCTGCATCCCAGCCAGTTACCAGTGTGATGACGAACCGGACTGCCCAGACCGCTCCGATGAGTACGGCTGCAGTGAGTCCCCCGCCAGCAGCTGTCTGCAGCACAGCGCTCCTACCTTTCCTTTTTTTTCCCTCTCATGCGCATTACACTCTTTTCTCTCTTCTTCTCCCTCGCTATACGCTTCTCTGACTCCCCTCTATAGTTACCCTCTGACTTCCTCTGTATGCTGTGACTAATTCGCTGTGAACCAGGATTTTTTTTTTTTTTTTCCACACACGTGGCGACTTGGACACAGAGCTTTTTGTGAAGCAGCCATTCCTGAGCACTGAAAGGGAATCGTCCCTCCAAAGCACAGAATTATGAGACTTTCAGCCGTTTATGAGCTTCACTTAATCGCTTGCCAGCCTTTTTGCACATGTGCATTTATTATGTTAAAACAGCTGCTCATCTCCTCGATCATTTGCAGCCCCGCCCTCTGTGACGAGCCCGCCGGAAGAGTCCGTCGAGGCAGCGCGGGGGGCGACGGTGACGTTCACGTGTCAAGCTGTTGGAGTGCCAACGCCTATCATCAGTTGGAGACTCAACTGGGGACACATTCCACTCAGCAGCAGGTGGGTTTGATGTTCTTCTTCTATATATTACTTTCTTCTCCCGGAGGTAACAGAAAATTCAGTCCAACAGTGAGTTTTGAACAAGAGCATGTGTTGCACTGTTTGGGCAAGCTGTCTCCAATAAAACATCTGGTGAAAGCAATTCCTGCTCAGTTGATCGGCAGCAGACCGCAAGGATTTAAGAATTACTACAAGCTTGCGTTCTCTACACAATTCTCGCCGGACTGTTTTAAATAAGGATTACAGTGCTGACTCATTAAATTATTCAGACCTTGGATTCCAATCGAAAAGTTGCAGTTGTCAGACCGTTCATTCAGGGCGCAGTCTGCTGTGTGTGGGATTAGACAACTACTGCAATTGATCATTTGCGCCGTATTTCCATGTACCCAGGATCTCCATGACCAGCGAGAATGGCCGGGGCACCCTGACCATTCGCGATGTGAAAGAGTCCGACCAGGGGGCGTACACCTGTGAGGCCATCAACGCCAAAGGCCTGGTGTTTGGGATCCCCGACGGCGTGCTCACTCTCACGTCAAGTCCAAATCCAGGTACCGCCGTCTCTCTTTTTTCCTGTGGGTTCGCTATCGGCATCACTACCCGTTTTCACCCGAGTGAATTCTAGATACGGTACGAATGGAATTTGTCTTGTTCATTTCAGGCAACTGTCAGGATGGTCACTTCAGCTTGGAGGGCCGCTGTGTCTCTTGCTTCTGTGCCGGAATTTCCAAAAACTGCAAGCGAACCGGACGCTACCGGAACCAGATTGGCCTGCGTTTCACGGAGGAGGAAGACTTCAAAGGCACTGACGCCATTAGATGCTTATTAAACTGAGATCTGACCACGCGGTCACGCTGTCCTTTACCTCTAAAAGTGTGTGTCGTCCTAGAGCATGAAAACAGGCTGGTTGATTGTGTTATTCTCGCTTCCAGGAGTGAATGTCACCTCTCCGTCCAGGCCGGGCACTCCTCCGCTCTCCTCCTCTCAGCTCCTCATTAATCCAGAGATGAAGGAGTTCCAGCTCGTCGACCTGTCACGCCGTTTCCTCATCCTTGACTCGTTCTGGTCACTGCCTCGCCATTTCCTGGGCAACAAAGTAAAGAGTGACCTGCGGACTTTATTATACTTTATTAATTACTTTACAAACTAAAGCATTGCATTCATTTCTACTGTTTTTAGATTGACTCCTACGGCGGTTCCCTGAGGTTCAAGGTGCGGTACACGTTGGCCCGCGGTCTGTCTGAGCCGGTGGAGAAGCCCGATGTGATTCTCGTTGGGAATGGACGCAGGCTTGTGTCAGTCAGAGGCAGACCTACCCCTGGCCAAGTGGTCAACCAGAAGGAGATCAAATTCACTGAAGTAAGTCTTTCTAAGTTTGTGATGATAGAAAAATCTGTCAGCGGTTGTCCAAAAACTATAATCGCATTGCACCACATTTCACTGAAAAGAAATATAACCAAATGGTCATGCTGTATAGCATAAACATCTTAATATGTTTTATTCCTTTTTTGAAATAGATGTAATGTAAACACATCAGTAAACCTGCTCGGCATTGTTTTTAGGACCAATGGCAGCACTCCAACGGCCGCGCTGTGAGCCGCGAGGAGCTGATGATGACACTGGCCAACCTGGACAGCATACACATCCGCATTGTCTACGACAACCACATGGTCAGCGTTGGGCTCAGTGAAATTGTCATGGATACCACCACTGTGGAGTTCAGCACGGAGGGTCATGCTAAGGATGTGGAAGAGTGCAGGTAAGACATAACTTATTTTGTTTTTTGTTTTTTATTACAACATGAGGAAGGTTTGCTATTTGCCACAGTTGTGTTCCTGAAACTGATGAAACTGTCGCATATTTATCGTTCCCAGATGTCCTCCTGGATATTCAGGCCTGTCCTGTGAGATGTGTTCCCCTGGTTTCGAGCGTGTGCCGGGCGGCTCCTACCTTGGCACCTGTGCCGGTTGCAACTGTAATGGACACGCCAGCGCCTGTGACCCAATCAGTGAACGCTGTCTGGTAATGGCTAACTCTACCTCTTCTTGGAATAGGACGAGTTTAACTGGTTGAGAATACCCTGAAGTGCTTAAAATCACATGTCCCAAAATGTCAAACTATCCCGCCTTGTTCTGAGTGGCATCCCGGCACAGGAATGAGCGATGTGTTCTTCCTGCCACAGAGCTGCCAGCACAACACCGAGGGCCCCCAGTGCGAGAAGTGTCGCCCTGGTTACTTTGGTGACGCGACCAGAGGTCGCTCAGATGACTGCAAGCCCTGCCCCTGCCCCTACTACGAGACCTCGCGGCGGTGAGGTCCCACACCCACTCAAACCACACACACACACGCACACACACACACACGCACACACACACACACACATACACACATCTGCTGTACAAATAGGGGACGACACATACCACACACAAGGCATCCAAGGGAAGGGCCTGTTTTTTTTGTTTTTTTCATTCCCAAAAGCTGAGCTCATTCAACAATTTGGCACCGGTTCATTCAACCTGCTTGTCATTAATCCATTGTCGTTGTTTTTTTGTGGCTTCGTAGGTTTTCTGACACCTGCTTCCTGGACGTTGACCAACAGCCAACGTGTGATGCCTGCAGGCCCGGCTACACGGGGAGACGCTGTGAAAAGTGAGGAAACCGATATCAACTGGGCCTTTATTACTATTGAAATAGTTTGTAGATGGCAGTAAAATGGGTTATACGACACGACATTCCTCTTTAATTAGTGGCAGTTAAATGTTAATTCATATATATATATCCACATGATTCTTATTAAAACTAACAATGACATAACCTGCCCCAGAATTGAGTTTTTAGAAAGCATAAATAAACCATATTGGGCTTTTTTTCTTTTCTTTCAGGTGTGCTCCTGGTTACCAGGGTGACCCTCTTCAGCCTAATGGAAGATGTACTCTCACACCTGGCCGTGAGTATATGCCCAACAAATTGCTTGAACATATTTATTCTCATTTCAAGACATGAAACTATATCTAGTGATAGGAACTCTGTAATGATTACCATTGCCCCCCCACACACACACCCCACTGGTGTTTCAGTAGGCAGTAGTATGTGGTCATAGCTCAGATATGCAGCGTGGATGGAACACTCTTTCCACCCCACGCAGTATGTCATCTTCTTTCCGTTCTTCCTGCAGAAAGCTGTGATAACAGAGGGACGATCAGCTCCAGCAGCAGACCATGCAGCTGCAAGGTATATATACCATATGGCAAACTGCTAAGTGACATTTTTGCATTTATTGTGAAATCTGCCCTATATTTTTGGGCAAACGTCTCTTACTGTTTGTTTATTTTCTTTGTAGTCTTTCATGAAATAGCTTTGCAGAAGATAAAAATCCAACAAGCAAAACAATACAGACAAGTATTCTATTGGCAGACGGATTACATGTGTGCGTTTGTGTGTGGTTCAGAACAACGTGGCAGGCGCTGTGTGCGATGAGTGTAAGGCCGGATTCTTCCACCTATCGGGGACCAACCCCGATGGCTGTCAACCTTGCTTCTGCATGGGCGTCACCAAGCAGTGCGCCAGCTCCACCTGGAATAGAGATCAAGTAGGTTGCCGACCTGCAAATGGCGAAAGGGAGGGGTGAACATAACCGGTATCACGGTTTGACTATTGCTGCTGAATCAGCAAATCCTGTCAAATGCTGAATAGCAAGATTCAACGTACAAATAGCGAGCGTGGGCCTGTAAGTCTCCGTTCACATCTCAGACAAATCGTTTGTGCCTCTCAGGTGCGCGGAGGGACGAGCGGGCAGCTCCTCTCCATCTCCAACAGAGCCAACACCAGAACTATTTCTGAAGGCATCTCCCAGAGGGGCTCCTCTGAAGTTGTCTACCGCGCAGTACCCTTTTCCCCCAAAGATACCTACTACTGGGTCCTGCCCGAGAGCTTCCTCGGAGATAAGGTAAGAGGAACACAACAAAGTCGAGAGCAGTCCAGGGGATAAGGAAGGGGAAAAAAAAGAAGTGGTGGTGAAGCTAGATTTGTCTGCTTTTTCTGTCCCACTCAGTCAAGCCTCAACATGTTTTAAGGTGAAAAGACGGCACTTACGCACACAGAGAGCCTCCTTTGAACCTCCTGGCTTCAATTCACACCCGGGCCCCAACATTGGTGTCTTGTAACTTCCCCCACAGTATCATAGGGGTGAAATACCGTCCCGCCATGCAATTTTGTTTTGACGGTGTTGCCCACAGGTGACGGCCTACGGCGGCGAGCTTCGCTACACCGTGCTGTTCCAAGAGTATCAGCCATCACTGGTGATTGACGGCCAGCCAGATGTGCTTCTGCAGGGCAACGGCATCTTCCTGGAGCACTACTCTCAGACCAAGCCCCTTCCACGTGTTTCAAAAACGGTGACCGTGACCTTCAGAGAGGTGAGCCGCATTGCCCAGTGGGGAATATCGTGTCGCTCAATCTGCATCCCGACAACAACGGACTGACTGACGCTGCCTCGTTCTCCCACCTTCTGCTCGCTAGTCTGGATGGCGTCGCGCTGATGGCCAGCCGTGTACTCGAGAGCACCTGCTGATGGCCCTGGCCGACGTTACTGTCCTCATGATCAGGGCGACCTACGCAGCAAACATGGCGGAAAGCAGGTTTGCACAGCTCATTCACATAGCACCATTGCTCTGAGCGGAACGTCCCGTGTCTCGTTAACGGCGTGCACTCGGTGTTAAACAGTATCAAGGACATCGAGATGGACGTCGCCGTTCCTGACTCCACTGGCAATGAACGTGCTCTGGAGGTGGAGGAGTGCGCCTGTCCTCGGGGATACAGAGGACCTTCTTGCCAGGTAAACATGCAGATTTCAGAGAGCCTGCTCAGTTGGCATTGATACCTGAATCACCTAAATTGACCAAATTATTGTAAGATCAAAATGTAGCCAAATCATGACATCTGATTTTGAATGTGGACTCATTATTTTACTTTCTACAAGATCAAGAATACACTTAATGTAGCATGAAGAAAGAAAAAGTAAGGCAATTGCAGATGTGCCTAAGCTTGTTATTAACCGCACTGTGATTTTTTTTTTTCTTCCCCCCATTGATGATAATTGCAGTCAGTCTCCCTGCCGCATTCGAACAAAGGCGTTCACTCGTCTCTCACCTGAGGTGTTTTCCTATGTCGTTGCAGGACTGTGATGAAGGTTACACCCGGGCCACCTCTGGCCTCTACCTGGGCACTTGCGAGAGGTGCGACTGCAACGGTCACGCCAGCAGCTGTGACAAGGAGACGGGCAACTGTCTGGTGGGTTACACGCTCCTCTTCTTCCCCCTTCTCAGTTTCTTCGCCCGCGCGCTTTGATCTGCACAGTGGAATGCACTAATGGTTTCCCGGGCTAATCCCGACAACATGTGGAAACACTTTTGTGTACAGTATTTTTACCGTGGATCTCGCCTCTGCTTTTTTTTTGTGTGTGTGTGTGTGTGTGTGTCCTGACCAAAAGCAATGTCTCCACAACACCGCCGGGCCAAGGTGTGAGCGCTGTCAGGATGGTTTCTATGGAAACCCGGTCACGGACGGCGCTCAGGCCTGCCAGCCCTGCCCTTGTCCTGGAACGGCTTCCAACAACCAGTGAGTTCATGTCTACTGAGTGTCAGTTTTATTCAGTCTGCATGGATCACTGTTAATTATCCTGTTGAAGGATGGACAATGGAAAGTGAGCAGCGTCACGGCTGCAGCTACTCATTTGCTCCTTAATAAACGAAAGTCACGCTGTATTTGAAATAACGTGAATGCTGACGAAAAAAAGAGGAGTGTTCTCATACCTTGCTTGCCCTCTGTTGGCGCAGATTCACCCTCACCTGTTATCTGGAGGCTGACGGCCAGCCAACATGTCAAGGCTGTCCCACTGGATACACTGGCCGACGCTGTGAAAGGTAGTCTCCTCCCCCCTCCTCCCCCTCCTCCACTCTCCTCCCCTATTCATTTTCTTCTTTCCTTTTCTTTCCCCGTCTTCCTCTCACGGTCATCTGGACAGTGTTTTGGGTTACTGGGCTGGCAGGCAGCAAGGTCACCAGGGGCTGGCAGTAGCACCCAGTGGTTTCATTCACAGGAAAGGGATGTAAGCATGTCTGTGGTTCACGTCCCTCTTGTCCCCCACTCCCCTGTTAGTAGTTGCGATTGAGATGTGTGCCGGTCCAGGGATGGGAGACTCAAATTGGTGCCAACCCATCCGGATGTTTTGTACTGTGTGCTGTTTTCTGGATCTGCTGGTGGATATTGTTTTTCTTGGATTTAATTTAAGGTCACCTGGCTGTGGTAGAATAATATATTTGGTGGGCTTTGGTGGCACTGATTACGTCATCACTCAGATTTTATTGTTCTGGAAAAGAAATTTGCCTAAAGAGGAATAAAAGTGCTGTATGTCCTGTCTAAACCTTCATTTTAGTCTGCTTTAGATCCTTTGATTGCTTTCTTCCTTCCTTCTGCTTTACCTCCAAATGCATTCTCGGAGGTGGCTTTCCGCTTCAGCCTTGCGCTTTGCTAGGAATGAAATCTCCAGGTGTTTTCTGTCCGAGCACAGACATTCCACAATCTGAGTATCAACGGCATAAATGCAGATGTGGCATTTATGAGGACTCCTGACTGATCGATCTTTGCTGCGCCGAGGGCAAAGATGACGAGGTGATTTGGGTGCAAGATGCCAATTATAAATAATTTACTATTTGAACGTCTCTGCCTGCATCGTACCTGATTCTGCTGTTTTGACATTAAGAGAAGAGATGCCGTCTGCAGACAGTTGTGGGAACCCTTTCCTGGATAAGCACACGGAGGGCCTCCTACCTCTGCTATGTGGAGCAGAAGCAGTATTCAATTTCAGCTGGGAGAAAGACGTACTATTTTCCGGCAGTGGAGCTGATGATGAGACCACAGCAGCAACCATAATCCCTACTAGGACTTTATTGTCCACAGCAGCTCACCGGCGCACCACTCGGTCGACGACAGCAGCCGTGGTCGGGGGCGTGGACTCCGTCCCGCCCAACAGATCAGCGACCAGGCTCCCCCCACGCTTCACGCCCAGCCCAGGGATCAGACAGTCCAGCCACCATCACCTCCTCCGGTTCCACCTAAACAGCTTCAACCGACGCCTGAGCATGCTGGAAAGAAACACACTGGACATGAAGGAGAGCGTTCACAATATGGGGGAGCAGCAGAGTCGCCTCGGCTCTCGGCTGGGGGAGCTCATCGCCATCCAGTCAGCCGGGGAGAAGAAGAAGAAGGTCGTCGAGCTGGAGGAGAGCTACGGAGACATGGACGCCCGTCTGAGCAGGCTGGAGGGGAGGCTGGAGATCCTGATCGACGGCTTCACCGACCTCGCTCAGGAGATGAACAAAATGAAGCGTACGAGACACGTCTCCCGTTCCATGCAAGACAAGCGGGCTCTGCCGTCACCCACAGAAAGGCCGCTCGCCAGCAGAGCCGCGGCGCCTGAAAGCATCCCGACCCCGAGCCTCCCCGCCAACAGACCCACCGCCGCTCCTCAGAGAGCGAGAAAAGTCAAATCGGCAAGCGCCACCGCTACGCCGGCAAAGGTCACGTCCAAAAGTATCGTCTCAACGAGGTCAACGCTAAAGTTTAGGACCACCCTGAGTAAACCCAAGACCACTTCGATGTCTGCAGCGAAGCCTCAAACAAAACGTCCCGAAGGGAGGAGGTCCGCTGGGACGGCGGAAGGCGTTTCACAGCCGAACCCCAAACATCGAAAGCAAGTCACCGAAGCCATCACCAAATTTCAACTGGAGCCACCATCTCACAAAGCAAGGCCTTCAGATCCGGGCCGAGCCGGGAAGAAGGATTCTTTGCCTATCAAAGGCAATGGACGCGCCAAGGCGTTTAGATCAGATGCGCCGGTTACGAAGAAGGTTCAGGAGGACAGAAAGGTTTCTGAAGGCATTTCAAAGAGTTTGTCCCACAAAGCTAACTCTAACCAAAAGGAGAAAAAGATGGAGCCCAACTCCAAGAAGTTGGTCCTTAAGAATACAAGGAACAACTCTGCGAAGAACGCGGCCCCTTCAACAAAACCAACCAAAGCCACTACTGTGAGGAAGTCCAAAACAACAATAAAAAGAGTCACTGCGAAGAAGATGTCTTACACAACAGCAAAAAGGAAATCACCTAAAACCAAGGTTGCTGCTGCAAAGGGAGTAACGAAAAAACACCCGCAGAAGAAAGAAAAGAAAAACACTCAATCTGTTGTTTTGGAACTACTGAGGCTCCTACAAGGAGAAAACAAGTCTGCAAAGCAGAAAGATAATCCGGACGGTTCTCTTCATGTTGTCTTGGGAAGGCTGGCCATTCCTGTCAAAATTATCCCCGATGATTAGGGAATAGTGTGTTGCTTTTCATTATGTTAAAATTAGTTTTCATTGTGGATATATCTACGCTCTAAATCCTGATATTTATATATTTTACCCATCAATGGAACGTAATGAAGGGACTAAGTTCATGCAACTGTGTGGTTCTAGAGGGACTTTTCGGATATTTTGATGCCATCCTGGCGGGATGTTCTATTCATATACAAATTACTTTTCAGGTGTGTTTTACCACAATCAGAACTGTTGTATGAAAAGCTCAGCACAGCAGTTGTACCTCTTAAGTGTATGCATTTGTCCATTGTTTTAAGGCCAAACTACCTCAAATTTTACAGCCCAACGTTTAGTTAGATCTTGCCCATTAAAACATGCCCATCAATCTTATTTCCTGCATTCTCATGGATTTGCTCTACTGGTATCCAATGTGTTGAGAAGCCTTACACCTCCTATATGTCCTAGAAAAGCCTTACACCTCGATGTCAATCTGTGGTTTTAATCCAAAATGGGTAAAGAAACCAGTACATTATAAACTAGACAACCCTGGTAGTTGTATTACTGCAATTACAATAATATGAATAATTTTGAAAAGGTTGGAAGAGCAAACAAAACATCCTCATTCGTTGTTCATAGAGCTTAAACCGTAATGAGGAGGCAATAATAGAATGGAATTGATTTTCAGCTGTGGCCAGAATAGCATCATAACTGCAAGCATGGCTGTTGACTCTGTTGGATTAAACCTTTTGGAAGCATGGCGATGGTGGCATTAATCATGGACTCTAAAATCCGGCTTCTTGTTTATATCACAAATATATTACATAAAATATTTACATAATTTTGTATAATTGCACCAGAAGAAAATATGTACCCAAAAAACAACTGGATTCATATGCTTAGGACCATAAATATATCCATTGAAAATGTTACGGTCACCTTGCCAGTAGTTATTGACACCAAAGCATTGAAGTCTGACCACCCTATATTTATCGTTATTAGAATTTGAAGAAATCTAAGGAATGTAATGAATTTCAGAAAGTCATCCTACACATAGTTTAGTTTCGGTTAAAACATTTGGGGAATTGTTTTATTTTAATGTGATGTTAAATTAAATTAATTTTCATTTTCTTTTCATCAAATGCTGTGTGTCTAGTAGTCTGTAGTTATGAACACTTTTGGTATTTTCCCACGGCCAAATCTAATTTGATGTATTTTTATTCCCTAATACAATGGTATTCATCCTTATCCCCTTATATATGAGAGTGACTGGAGGGACTGAGTTAACCGTTCCTTAGAATCTAACCGCCGTACGGCTCAGTTAGTTTGAATAGAGTTTCCCAAAGCGAGTTCATAGCGTGGAAGTGCTCTTGTTGGCTGTTGACCGGCGGACCTGCCAGAGGACAGGTGAGGTAAGAATGACAGCAGCTGCTCCCGGGGCGACCTGCACACATCTGGGATTTTGGCCTTTGCTCCGGTGGAAGTGGCGTTGTTTGCTTGGGTTGAAGGCATATTGCTTTGCTATGTTCCAATATCAGAAATAACTTCCCTCCTGGGCAGCTTAGCGTCTTTTTTCGATATATCTTTATATCATGGCTGTTTGGACTCACCTCCGCTTTGTTCTTTTACCAGTTCTATATTTGAAGCTTTTCTTTCAACCATGTTTTCTGGTGATATTTTCTCTTATATAGTTTCTTGTTCAAAGGTGTTCCTCAGTTTGAACTGCATCACACCTATATGAGAGATAAAATCAACATCTCACACATGTTGAGGCACTGCTTCATCCATCTTCAAGCAATGTTTCATGACCTTTGTCTCTGGGTGAACGCTTGGTGTGTGTATAAAACTAGCCTTTAGTGCAGATTCTGGCACTTAGTGGATGGAATAACAGAAAAGTTTCTATGTTTTTTGTCTGAATGACTCATGTCTTTGTTCGTGGTTGCGGTCTAACTGGGGTCAAGAAGACTTCCCAAAGGATGTGATTCATAAAATGTATCACCTATTGCAGACTTCACACCTCGTGTTTTTTTGGTTAAGAATATTCACCCAAAAACATTTTCTATTTTGTTTCAGGTGTGAACCAGGATTCATTGGCAACCCACTGCTTGGACAGAGGTGTAGTGTTGACAACAATGGTACGTATTGTGTTTTAATCACAGTCACATCACAGACATTCTTCCATGTTCTGGCTTGTTCTTTATCTTTAAAAAAAAGCAAAGGTTCCCTTTCTGTCCAATAATCTAGCATTAACTAATCTACTGTCCTGTTTCAGATAACTGCTACGACTGTGACGAACGAGGAAGTGAAGGTTGCAATGGTGATGTTTGCCACTGCAAGGTGATCAAACTAACTTAATTGCTGGTTGTTGTTCTTGTGGTTACCTTTGGTATCTTTGTTTTCAGCTCCAAGGGAGACTACAAATGAACTGATTTCCTTGAATGTATTGCAGTTGAACGTTGAGGGCCCATCTTGCTCCAACTGCAAGGCTGGAAGCTTCCATCTGAGCCGGGACGTGAAAGACGGCTGCCTGTCCTGTTTCTGTATGGGTGTAACTCAGCAGTGCTCCAGCTCTACCCACTACAGAGACACGGTGAGGCCTTTAAGTGGTTCATGACACATTTGAGATGTTGTCTCTCAGAATTTTGGCTGTAAAGTCTATAAGGCAGCAATTGGCTCCACGTATTGGCTCCACATTTAGAGTAAGCCCTAGTAAGGCAATGGAAAAAGACAGCTTTATGGGCGGGGGACTAAAGCAGTTAAAGGGCTGTGATCTACCTGTATAGTCCAGTTTTAGAGTATTAAGAAATACTGAAACTTCACAACTTCCTCACTATAGTGAATGGTTGCTTACCAAATGTCTAGCTACACCGGCATCCCTCACAGCTGCTTTTACCCTCCTTTGTCGCACTCCAGTGCCCCAAAAGCTCCCGATTGTTTCTAAATTCTAAACAGCAGCGGAATAGTAATTTCCTCATAACATTGGTACTGTTATCAAAGTCAGCCAAATGTCCAATTGCAATCAAAATTGCTGCAGTGATTTTAGCATTTATTTAATTTTTTTATTTTATTTGAACCGTTTCAAACTACATTCATGTGCTCGTCCAGGTGTCCTCAGTCTTCTCACCAGGAAACTTCCAGGGTTTTGCGCTGGTGAACCGCCAGCGCACCAACCGTATCTCCACCGGTTTCACTGTGGAGGTTTCCACTGAAGGCACTCAGCTGTCCTACACCAACTTTGATTACCTGGGACAGGAGCCTCATTACTGGCAGCTTCCTGGGATCTTCCAGGATGACAAGGTCAGTTTCAAGGAGCACATATCAGTCAGTCAGTGGAACTAGTCCAAAAAAGGCCTGAACCCCAGGCTGTATATGAGTGGCTGAGCAGCACTCATTAGAAACTTGTAGACCGCTTTTATTCTGCTGCTGTCACCATTTTTCTGCTTCTCCATTCTTAAAACTTCAGACAATCCTTCTTTTCAAGCGGTACGCTTTTTCAGTCTCTTTTCCTCTGTTGCTACCTTTATAACTCTGTCTCCACATGTGCATAGAATCAATGGTCCCCGTGTCCACTTACATGATGTAGCTCTCCGTGTCTTTGTTTGCTCCTCCACTCCACTAGAAAAAAACTTTTTTCACTCGCAAAAGACGAGCACAGCAGGTACAGTAGGTGGATGTCATGTTGTGACTGGTAGAGCGGTAAAGTTTGGCATGTTTAAAAGTAACGTTTGATTCAGCGTCGTGTGAATTACTGAATGCCAAATCTTGTACTTTTTGTGTGGTTAATAGAAATTCTGTGGCTTTCATCATTTTTCTCCTGATTGAATCGTATTAGACGCATTGTGTTTTGCACACAGACATTCTGTTCCGCTTCACATCACATGAGCCGGGGAAACGGCTCGATCGTTGATGCTCCATTAAGGAACTTCATACCGTTTAACTTTGCTCAAATAACACTGTCATAACACTCCCGAATGCCATCAACCCAGTGATAAGGAAAGTGATCAAAGAGCTTTATGCACATCAATACGAGTAGTGACTCCTACTCACCGGAGCAGCAACTAAGGAAAGATGCTTCCGTTTGGAAGCCGATGGCCTCTGAATGTAGAGACATCCACAGAGCTAAAAGAGCTAGCCGGTTAGTTGATGTAAACTGATGCAGAGTGGTTCTGTCATTAGAAGCTAAACACGCTGATAGTTTGTAGCTCATTTATGGAAAATAAAATGCCCTCTGTACATCGCTCTAGCAGCATGAAGCGTCACTTTGGTTTGATGAACTGAGCAGCAGCGTGTTGTCGGACTCTACCAGTGCACTTGCATGTGTGTGGAGCACAACGAGTCGGTACGCAGACTCGGGAAAGTTACTACAGTGATCATGGCGCAAGGAAGTATGTGATTTGTGTGTTTCTTCGGGTGGGATCCGCCTGTTTTGGAGTGAGAATACTCTTTCAGCGGGGCCCAAATGTTGCCGTGCCGCGCATCCAAGCATCCTAGACTAAAAAGCATGACTCGGCATGTTCACTTTCTTACACTGATGAGTGGAAGAGTTTAATTCTAAATCCTGCCTCCATTATTTTGACTTTCTCCATGGTTACGTGTCCGCCCCCGCAGGGTGATGTCAGTCAGCTGGACGATGAGGTCTGGGCGCTGTTCTCTAACTTCTCCAATGGACACGCTGGTTCCTCTCGATTCTTTCCCTCCTCTAAATCCTCCACCTCTTCCTCCTCTCTTTCTTCTTCTTCTTCTTCCTCCTCCTCCTCCCGATGGTCCTTGCGTAACCCGAGCCCCCCTTCTAGGTCTGGTACGTCATCTTCACTTAAACCAACCAGACCTCAGGCTTACTCCCCACTCCACTCGCTCCATCTCCAGGTACACGTTGCCAGAGATTGCAAGACTTGTTTTGGTTTCTTGATGATATTCTTGACTTGTGGCGTTTTTCTTGGCTGGGTTCTTTGGGAGCAAGAACTCAGTGAGCCAGACTTTAGCTGGCGCCTCTGGAGACAGCAGCTTGGTAGACCGCTGCATGTGACAGGACTTGTCTTTGATTGTAAAGCTTTGAAAGTTAATTAGCAACCAACTGCCCTCCCTTTGTCAAAGGCAGTTAACGTTTAGCTCAGAAACTCTTAACAGATATGTTAAAGAATGTATTGAGTTTGTAAGTAGAGAATGGATCATTTACCGAGCTCCAGTGGTTGACTGGGTGGTATTCTCCATTGTTAAGCAAATAGCTGCCTTTCAGTGCTGTCAGTGTAGCTGTTCACTTGAGAGGAACATTGGTATTACAATGCCCTGACGCTATGGTGTCCGCTTTAGAACAGCAAAAGGTGCTTTTTGTCATCCGACAAAGCACCGTGCCACTCGTAGGCCGTGATCAGTGGAGCCTTGAAAGCACGCGTACTAAAGAAGATGTTCTTGAGAGTTTGGCTAAATGTCACACATTTGTCCCGAGATCCTTATTGAGCTTCACTCTTCAGCACGCCCGCCTGCTCGTTCAACATCTCTGGCTGCTTATTATTTGCGTCTTGCCGACTCTCTCTCCATCTGTGCCTTATTCTGTTCTGCCCTTCCTTCCTCCTCTGCCTCTCAGCACAATCTGGTCGACAAAGGTTTCAGCTTGCACCAGGATGATCCGCTGGACTGGCAGCTGCCAGCGCAATTCACAGGGGAAAAGGTAACAGTGAGAACTTCCCTCCCCGACCATTGGTCGACCCTGTGAGGTCACAGGGAATACAGCACCCGTAGTATCCTCCAGCGTCCGCCTGTGACCTTCAACCCCCCCATCCTCACCCTCCCTTTCATCTAGTCCCTCACATGTCGAGTCGGCCTTCCTCCGCTGTAGTACAGTACGGCCCTGATCAAACAGCTTGTTTTGCAGTATGCTGCCACTGCTGCGAGTGCTTGTAAGAACCGTGACCTGTACACAAACAGTCAGTAGTGCTTTTTGACTTATCCAAGTGGTGTGAAATATCACATACCCCACTAACTCCAAGGCTGCTGTATTCTGTTCGGACCATGGTAACTACGGTCGGTAAAGTCAGGTATCCAACAAAAAGTCACCACAGGAAGAAGAAATGCTTCTCAGGGCGCTGTCAGCACGCGAGACGCTCCCTCACAAACTCACACAGGCCGCTTATATGCTTTTCCTCTGATCAGGGCCTAAGAGCCATGTCGCGTGTAGTGTAGTGTTTGTTGAAAACATGCAATTTTCTACATACAATTAGAAGTAGAAACGACAACTTAGTGCTCGCTTCACCTGGTTGGCTGTTTTAGATTGGACCCTTCATGGAAAATAAGTTTAAAGTACAAAAAACGGAAGTCCTATACATAGGGTCACTCCAGTGATTTATTTAGTATTGCGCTTTTTTAATGTTGAAAATGACCATTTTTAGTACATGTGAACAAATTTCAGATGTCTAAATAGGTTTTCTCCTTCACATCCTGTGTGTCGGATTCGCCGTAACTGTACAATCTTTGTTGCTCTGAGAAGCCGCCTAGCATCTATTTTTGCTACATTTTATATTTTTGTTGTTCAGGGAAATTTCAACATAGTTTTAACTGGCGAAATATCTGAAGCCTCCTCCTTGCTAACCATCTCTTAGGTGGGTTCTTACGGAGGCAAGATTAAATACTCCATCTCCTACGTCGCTGGCCCAAGAGGATCACCCATCGATGATGCCGACGTCCAGGTTATTGTGAGTAAAATGCCGTCATGCTGATTCACGTTTCTTTTCTTCCATAGTCACAAGCATTTGTAGCTTTACCTGACCCGTTTCCTCCTTGTAGGGTAACGACATCACTTTGGTAGCTCGTCAGCCCTGGCAGCCGAGGCAGCAGGGCGCCAGAGAGACGCGCCATTTTGAGATTGTCTTCAAAGAGGTGAGTAGCCCATAACTATACTTTTCTATGTCCAACAAAAAAAAGCAATGTAGCACATTATCATTTATCAGCAGCAAAGTGGTATTTCTTTCTTTTTATGTCTGATAAAATAAAATATTACCAGATCAAATAAAACAATAGATATGCTCTAAGTGCTCGTTTTTTTGCCTTGCAGGAAAACTGGCGCCGTCCTGATGGCATGCCGGCCACCCGAGAGCACCTGCTGATGGTTTTGGCGGATCTGGACGACATCCTGATCAGAGCGTCCTACTCCACTGAGATGCGGTCCTCCAGTATCTTTGACATAAGCATGGAGGTCGCCGTGCCTAACTTCAGCGGCTTGGCCCAGGCACTCGAGGTGGAGCAGTGTCGCTGCCCACCTGGATACCTGGGACTGTCTTGCCAGGTACCTGGTTCTTTTTCTTTTTTTCTTGGAATGGTTGAATTCCCTGGAAGCGATACAGGCGAATTGTGCTACATTCAAATGCTTATTGCTGTATGATTATCTTAATCACATCACGTTTCTTTAAGGACTGTGCGCCTGGGTATACTCGCACTGGAGGAGGTTTATATCTGGGCCATTGTGAGCTGTGCGATTGCAACGGACACTCCGACTCCTGCCGCCCTGAAACTGGCACCTGCACGGTACGAAGTGCTGGATTTAGCACGTGGCCGATATTTGTCAAGTTGTGGTTAGATAACAGCATATCTGGCAAGTGGGCAGGTCTGTAAACGTGGTACATTTCTTGCTCCAGAGTTGCCTGCACAACACCCAGGGAGAGTTCTGTGACCAGTGCGCTCCTGGCTTCTTTGGTGACGCCACTGTTGGCACTCCGGAGGACTGCCAGCCCTGCGCCTGCCCCCACAGTGACCCAGACAACCAGTGAGTACATTTACCAAGGCTCGCGGACGGAACGACAACGCTTACATACCGTGAGCACAAAGCGCGTCTCGTCTGTCAGAAGCGAGGGAACCGTCACAGCCATTGCGCACATTCTTCTCATTCCCTTACTCGGATGAATTGCGCTGGTTGGAATCAGCCAGGGTTGCCTTTTAATGAAATTTGTCCGTTGCTAAGCAAAGGGGCTAAATAGCGCCACCACGTTTTCCGTTGACTCCTGCAGTCGACCCCGAGGTGATTTATTTATTTATTATTTTTCTACTGAAAGGATTACTTTAATCCTCATTATACATTAATCATTATGTTAGCAGGCAGTGTACAGAATGTTTTTTGCTCAACTGTAAATCAACTCTGTGTGTGACTCATGTAACAGGTTCTCCCCCACATGTGAGAGCCTTGGAAACGGAGGCTACCAGTGTACTGCCTGTCAGCCTGGTTACACTGGCCAGTACTGTGAACGGTGAGATATCCCTCTTCATGTGGGCCAAAACTGTCACGTAAAAAAAAAAAGTTTGTTTTGATCAATTTCACCTACTGTCTCTACAACTTTCCATGATGGGTATTTCTATCAAAACTTGAGCAAGATGAATTAATGTTGTTGACTGAAATCAATCGCGATCTGTCTGGTTTTTTTTTTTAACCATCGTTAGTTGTGCTTCCGGATACGTTGGCAACCCTCAGGAGAGACAAGAGTGCCGTCCATACGATGGTAAGGCTACATTTCAGTTGAGTAGAAGTATCAAGGGTCTACGTCAATGTTGGCATCCGACCTGACCCGAAACAACACCCGAAACACGACCTGACCCGGAAAAGATGTGTCTGTAATCACATGTAGATGCCTTTTCAATGCCAATGTTTGTGATAGTGCTGAACTGAATTATTATTCTTTAAAAGTGTATTAATAGAAAGACATGGAATAACATTGTTAAGAATACCATGAATATGCTTGTAAATGTTATGAAAAATAACAAAATAGCCTTTTTTTGCAGTGTTATCACAATTCATATTGAGACAGCCAATGCGCAATATATCAGATCTAGACTTTTAATTTGTTCTCGAAGTGCACCAGATTTATGCATTTAACCCCTCTTAAACGCCCCTGGACTTTTCTATTGTGGCACCTCTTCCTCTTGCAAAAGTCTCATCAACCCTGTGGAAGAAATATTCAAGATTGTCCTTATATTCGTTAAAAAGTTAAAAACTATGTATCTGTACTCTATGAATTAACCACAACAAAATGTTAACTGACAGACAGATATTTCACTCTCTGTAAGAAAGTGAATAAAATGTCTAACGTTCAACTCGCGCCAACCAGGTTCAATTAGTCTATCAACCATCAACAGTGAGCCAGTTTCCATCTAGTTGTACTTTACTGCCTGAGCTTAATTTGTGGAATACCACTTTGATCTAATTTATACGATGTTTTAGTAAGTATTCCTGATTATTTTCTTTGCACTTTGCAGATGCAGCCTCACTGGTGGTGAAGGTTTACCCCGAGAGGGTCCAATCGCCTCCGGGGGGCTCGGTCACCCTCCGCTGTCAGGTGTCCGGCTCTCCTCCACACTATTTCTACTGGTCCAGAGAGGACGGCCGATCCATCTCCAGCAGAGCCGACAGACACCGACAAGGTAGGGCACTCGATTCGACCTCGTGGTCACAACAAGGACGGGACGGATAAATGTTTGCATCCACGTAGATCCAAGAGATCACTGAAATGTAATTCGAGTGTGATTTATGCTCTCAATTCTTTGGTTTTAATCTGAAGACGTGCATTTTAAATAACCTGTCGATCATTGGTGTGTGCAGGAGCAGAGCTGTACTTCACCAACGTCCAGCCCAGTGATGCCGGTGTCTACATCTGTACCTGCAGAGACCGGCGCAGCACCAACAGGAGCCGCGCTGAAATTGTTGTCACAGGTGTGTACTGTCTCACAGCAACATTAGCAAACAGGTTTTTCCCTCGTGCTGCTTAGTGCAGCACCCGGAATAGATTCCACCCGTGGTTCAACACATGGGGTTGCTTATGCACGGATTATGTAAGAACTCATTATTTAGTTTAGTTGACTGGGGTGTGGGGCATACTGCATAGTTTTTAAAGGGCTGGTATATGATGTTGACAACAGAACAAAATATGTTTTTCTTCTTTTAGCTTAAAAATTGTTTCTTTTTGCTTTAAAATTGTTTCTTGTGATACAGTACAGTGATAAATGAAAGGTTGAGCCGTAACATTTTGACAGAATTTTGCAGTCAATATTTATCAGTTTACTTTCATTTTGTGTTTTGCCATCCACTTACTTTATTACCAATTTCAGCAGTTGTCCCGTCCAAAGCCATTGAGGTTACAGTCGAGGAGCCCAAATCCCAGACCGTCCACCTGGGGTCAACTATCAGTTTCATCTGCACCGCAAAGAGCAAGGTAAACCTGGACGGTAATCATAGTACGCATCAGTTTGAACATTTGGGAAATACTCGTTTTCATTCTCTTGCCAAGAGTTTGATGAAAAGATTGATCTCTCCCACTTCCATCTGTATGTTAAAAGTGAAGCTGGAGCCGGCGGCTTGTTAGCTTAGCTTAGCCTAGCATAAAGACTGAAAACCGACAGCCCGGCTCTGTCTCAAAGTTAAAAATCTTCACCTCATGCAGCCGAACGAACGTTTAGGGTTCGTTCAGTCCATTAAAAAGTTTGTCTGCGGGAAAAAAAGAGCAGTTTTTCCCCATGTTGGATATCGCCTACGCATCTGGTGATTTGTGTATGTTTTTATCCGCGCTCCCCTTTCGCAGTCGCCAGCCTACACCCTCGTGTGGACACGGATGGGTAACGGGAAGCTTCCCAACCGGGCCATGGACTTCAACGGCATCCTGACCATTCGGAACGTCCAGCCCGAGGACGCGGGCGTGTATGTTTGCACTGGCTCCAACATGTTTGCCATGGACGAGGGCAATGCCGTCCTCCACGTGCCAGGTTTGTGATCCTCGGCACCGCATTCCATTACCCATCGACCCCCACCCCCCGGCTACCCAGCCGGCCCTGGCTCCCGTAGTCCCCCCCCCACCCTAAACTCCCCCTCCAAGCTTGCGATGGTGCATGCTTCTCTGTTTTGCCGTCGTCATGCAGTGCAAACACTCTGGGTTAACAGCGTAATAAGCTTGCAGCTCTAACTCCCAATGCTTTTGCCCTCTGCTCTCAGATACCAACATAAAATGTTATGACCGCCAATTAAACTCTTCTTGCTGCCTAACTCTTTGTTTGTATGTCGCTGATCAGTGGATATGAAGCAATACAGCTTGTGGGTTTGGTAATTCTAAAACAGTAAATGTACACATTTTCCAAATAATGTTTGGGGTCAAGTGTGCAAGTATCAGATGTAACTAGTGGGCTCTTAATACAACTGCATATCAATTACACTTGAGGTCTAATGAGTGCTCTTTCGGATTAGTGATTTGTAGCTAATGCTTTTCGCCAACACTCAACCGAGGCTACGGCAGATTTTCTTCTTTGCTTTCCATAATTTTATTTCACGTGGGTTGAATTAATGGGTGGTGGTTTGGTGGCTCATCGGTCCCTGGCGTAGCTGCTGGTTTCCGCTGTTGGAGGTTTCACTAGCAGGGTGCTGGATTCTGGTGTCTTTAACTTTGGGCTCCTGGGGTCCACTCCCTGCCTGAGCTCTAGTGTACAATGATGAGGAGGAGGAGGAGGAATGCGGATGGCACGATTGGTGCTAAGTGACTCCGCCGACCGAGATTCAAATGGGACTTCAGTGAGTGTCGGGAAGAGAGGAAAAGTAGGAAGAACCCCCCCCCCTGATTCCTTTGTATCGTTGTACTCCATGCGGTATTCCTTCCTGAAGTGACTGTCTGCTGAACGGACAAAATGGTGCTATTATTAACGTGGTTAGTTAAACCTGCCACTCTCTACGTGATGTTACACTGCTGTAATATTACTCCTTCATTCCTTTCAGTTTCAGTATGAGTTGGTCTCGTTTGTATCGAATGCTACTTGTCAGATTGAGTTGGTGAAATCTTTTTTGGTGATTTGTGGATTAAAATGTTAAAAGAAAAATACTTTGTTATCCAAATTTTGTCAAAAAACATTTCCAACTATTTTATTTTTCACATCCTGTCATTGTTGATGGCACATTTTCTTTTTTGATTGACTGAAATATGTTATCCTGAAATGTTTCACTGAAGAAATGTTAGAAATTCCTTTTGTTATTTGAATACAATTACCTTGCATGATGTGTGTTTACATTTAAGCATTGTTAAATGGTTTTATACAAAAATATTTTGTATTTATCTCTTAGACCATTTTACACTTACACTACTGCATTAGCTTTATTTGTTTATTCACGATTCAAAGACGACATCATTGGAAATATTCCCCAAAGTGCTTCAGTTAAAGTTTTACTCATTCTACATTTATTCTTAAAGAATACCTATCTGATGTAATAGACACATGTCACAATGTAATGTATTTATCTTAACTGTGAAAATATTTTGTGAAAAAGAGCAAATTATTAAAATAACGACATTTGATCAAAGTGATTTGCTAATTCATGGATGTGTTTCACTAACCTATATTACCTTAATCCGGTCAGGATAACCACAAGCTGTATGTTGACTTTTTATCTGCTGGAATAGACAGTTTCAATATTTGAAACTGCTTTTTGCCACTAACCAGCATGTCTCACATGTGACTAAACATTGCATACCTCCATCTCACCTTGTGTTTTTGTTTTGTATGTTGTCAGTTATTAGAAAAGCATTAACTGCAACTACATTCTAACCAGCATACTTCAAATCACAGAGATCCTCATTTTCTTTTTCAATAAATATACAAGAGGTAAGTGTGAGAATTGAATGAACTACTTTTGTTTGCATGTTTACATTATGTGTGATGTTTTTTTGGAATCAGTCACGCACAACTACAGCAGCCCACGTTTGGAGATAACTGTCTCTGGGGTAGATTTACTGTTAACCCCGAAACCTCAGTTAACCTGTGCCCCCCCCCCTGCCCCTTCCTCCCTTCCTCCACAACTCCAGAGGCCTCACAGACTCAGATGTTTTACACAGCCTATGAAATGTTTGAAGGACACAGAAAGCGTAAGTCCGCATGGGCATGGTGTCCTTTCTGCTGGGCTCCCTGGAGGGACCGGCCTCTCCCTCTCTGTGTCCCTCCCTGTGTCCCTCCCTGTGTCCCTCTCTGTGTCATGCATGCACTCGTCATCGTCAGCATGGATATACTGATGACCCGTTAGCGCCCATGTACAATCCACCAAACAGCATCTGCAGAGACTCTCTACAAACCAGAGACTCTGTGCTGGATTATATTCTCTGGCAATCGTCTCGTCTTTTTTAGAATTGAGAGCTAAAGACATATTTAGATAAAGAATATAAAGATAAAGATATATTTTCAGTGTTTTAGAACGTGTAAACGTTCATGTAAAATAGTCACAGGTTGGATTGTACATGAGTGCATTACTGGCTTCCTCCCTGGTTCATCAGGTTCCATCACTGCAGGAAAAATCTGCATTCTAAGGGCAACTCCTCATGAATGTTGAGTCAAGTATTCAACATTTAAAAAAGTTATTCAGTGTAGTACAGTGATTACAGGCCTGAATCTACAATGTATTTCAGATGTTTTGCAAAACTGGCGGCAATGACAAACCAGTTGGATAGTGTTGGATAAATATCACTGTAAATTGGACAAAAATAACAGATAACACAATAACAATATTTCAACATTTGAGTCTGCTAATTTATTTATTTCATTAGCACAAGCTAGATGCTTACTTACAACGTCTCCACATTCAGAAGCCAGAGAAGCCCGTTATTCTTCTTTCTCTTTGTACTTTTCTTATCCCCTTTTCTCCTTAAGAAACGTGCTGCATCTGGAAAAAGCTATCGTCTTGACTTCAAACATCATACTGTGCTTAATACATCCTATCGCAACCTCATTGCACCATTGCTGAATGTGGGTAGCAGATTTGAGTCCAGTGGGGGAGGCCTGGTTTCAGTGCTTCGAAAAGATATGAGTGAAGTTAAATTGACATAGTTAATGGGATATTGATAGATGGAAGTCAACCAATGTTTCAAATATAATTAATATGTTAGGATGGAATTCATGGAAGGTGGTAGAAAACATATCTCAAGGTTTTATACAGACATTTATGGTCTGAAAAGGCTGAATCAACCTTATTTGGGGATTTCTTCTAGCCCCATATTTGTGGTTGGTTTGGGTATTGAGTGAAATCTCTGAACATGAAATGTGTCAAACACATTCATGTACCTTTTAGGAATTAATTGTAATAATACCGTAGGTAATCTTTTACCTTTTCATTTAGCGCCATGATCTGGTCAATGTTGGAAGTTTTCCAATACCTGACCACATACAGCAAACAGCCTCAGCTGTACTTTATGTTTAGTTCTAATTAGCAACGGTTATCTCGCTAACGTTGTCACACTGCCATCAGCGCTAGCGCTCAAAGTTGTACCGTCCAGTTCGACCTTACAGAGCAAATAAAAATCCATTTACCTCTATTGTATTGGGTTGAAGTCAAACCCACAACTGGAGATTTGGACGGATCGATGTCCCCTAGATCGCTCGGAAGGTGGTGAAGTAACAAAGGATGTATTTTCCTGACCTAATTAAATTGCTGCATTTATTTGATCCTAGCTCGACTCCGTTACCAGCTAGCCTACCCATATTCAAATCATTCTCATTCTCATTTAGACTTCAGGCAGTCATGTCTGCCCTGTGCCCCACAGAACGCAATGCAACTTCTCTCCTTCCCCGCAGTATTGATGTCACTGAGGGGAAGAGAGTCAACGCTCGGCCAAGGTCAGAACACTCCCAGAGGTGTTCCGCCTGCTCTGGCCGCCTCCAACTCCTTCCCCTCCTACTGAATGAGGCCTTTCTTTTTCTCCGTCACCCTGGAATCGTTCAGGACATGCCAATGCTTTCCTGCCACTTTCCATCCGTTTGGTCCCAGTCTGCCAAGGGTGAAGGTGGAGACGATGAGGGTGGGGTGGATGAGGGTGGGGGGCAGAGGCCATCGCTCTCTTTGAGTTATTATCGTATAACGGGTTGTCACAGCTAAATGGAACGCCCAAGCACTCGCTGGTAGACTCCACATGAGGTTTCCTCACTTCCCCCCTGCAACACCAGCAGAGCCGTCCACATGATCCTGCTTTGTTTCTCCACACGCCCCTGTGAAGTTTCCCTCTCCAGCTTGTGCCGTGCCTGACTGATGTGTCTCCTTCGGTAGCCTCGGAGGAAGCCCAGCCCGTGGCAACCATCACTCCCTCGGTGCTGAATGTCCAGCAGGGCCAGCGGGCAGAGTTCCGCTGCACAGTGACCGGGAACCCAACTGCCGCCATTGAATGGTTCGGTACGAGCAGTTAGTTCGACACTATCGCCGTGTTGTAGTGTCGGCCTTGTTGTACACTTAAAGTAATTCAAGTGGAAAGGCCATTTTTCTGTTGGTCTGGTACATGCAGCTCCCTGTGGCAGAGTGTAACTGTGTGGTTATTACAGGGGGTCCCGGGAACAGAATGAGTCCGAGGGCTGTTGTACGAGGAGGCGTTCTGACCTTCGTAGCAGTGGACGCAGCTGATGAGGGAGAGTACACCTGCAAGGCCCTGAACACCCATGGGGAGCACACCGCACGGGTTTCCTTATTTGTCCAAAGTATGCTTTGTGTCTGTGTGAGCGTGTATTTCATGTTCATGTATTTCCTCTCCTCTCTTTTTGAGAGAAAAAATAAATAAATTAAATGTGACTTATTTGGGAATAGGTAATGCATGGTTACGGTTAAGGTTACATTGCTGCACAGTTCTTGTAGGTCAATGTAATTTTCCCTTACAAGTGTGTGTGGGTTTGGACCTCACATACTGTATAAATTGAAATACAGCAGTTCAATATGTTTAAAAATAATCCCAGTACAGGGGAATTGTTCCCTTCATGTTTAGGTTCAAGGATTTAATCGACCGCTTGAAAAACAAAAGCATCTTATGTCACTATTTTTAAAACATGTATAGATATTGAATGAGATAAAATTTCCTTAGCTCATCATTCTCCTCTACACCAACTAAAAACAAAATAAGTTCATCTTCTTCTCATGAATGAAAAAAATTGACAATAACTCTAAACCTGCCGAAGCCAGAGCTGCTTTTTCTGGTCTAACGTTGTCTGGTATCACCAGTTGTTATGGGTGGCTTATGCTAGCTTACCCTAGCCAGCTTATTGACTTCATGATAATTCTCTATTGGTGATAATGTCATTCAATGTTTTAACATTTCACAGACGCAATGTTCATAATGGTTTCACTACATAAGAAAAGCAATAAGTAAACGCTTATTTAAATAAGGTAATTTAGTAAGTAGTAAACTACTCAATGAAAAATGATCTGTCACACTTAGTAACCCTGTGTTGAATTTGCACTTGTCTGTCAATTTATCATTATTCCTTTTTTTTTGGTCAGAGTCTAACCCAAGTGGCCTCGGCACAAAGCCCCAAGTCCAAGTCAGTCCCCAAAATATCGACGCTCACGAAGGGGACAACTTGAGGTTGTATTGCCGAGCAACAGGAGTACCCACCCCGAAGCTCACCTGGCTGAAAAACGGGGGACAAATCGTTCCAAAGGTGAGACACCACCTTCTGTCTCAGTCCCTTGATGTTGCCTTTAACACAGATTAATAACTGTATTTACATTTGCTGTGCTGTATCTCTACTTTGCACTTCAAGGTGTGCCGTGTGCCGATGGTATTTCATCATACTGTGTCAGTTTGTATGACTGTTTCAGCGTTTTAACCATTTACCCTTATGTTCCCTCTGTTTGTCTCTTCCCCTTTTTTTATTTTGATCCCCACCCTGTTCCGACGTTTACTCAGGCCATTCCCTCTCATGGTTTCCATCAGTTTAAAAGCAACAGTCTCGATGTGTTACAGAGACGTATTGAGGAGCAGCAGGTCTGTCCATCTGTCCGCTGTCTGTCCTGTCTCATACATCAAAACCAGTGTCCTCTACTTACCTTGTCTTCACAACTGCATGAACTTGTCCTTGATTCTCACCTTGTACTAAAGTCCCGTTAGAACTAATGCCAAAAACATTCAAATCAACTAGCTGGGCCTGGTTGACTTGTTAATGTATCTGCACGCGGTACATGTTTTTATGTTGTGTTGTATTAACAAAGGTGATAGTCTTTTTTGTTTTGTCACACCATCCCTGACTTGTTTTGGCCCTCAGCCCTCAGTTGACCCTCATCATTCCATTGAGTGTATTAACAGGACTAAGTATACAGGAGGTACTTTAGGTATTTCAGTCATGCTCCACTCCGTGCCAGACGCATCGCGCTGCCCCCCGACCCACCCCACCACCACCACCCTCCCCGACCCAGAGAGGTATTGTGTTGGTGTGGCTGCCGCATAGCCCTCCTCGGCTCCACGGGTGGGGCCTCCGGGGCCCATTTAGTTCTGCCTCAGAGAGCCCCCGCGTTGTGTCAGCCTTTCCCAGGGGCGGCTGGGCTCTGCCGTGCGACCACGCAGAAATTCTGTGTGCTCTAGCAGACGGCTTGCTTTGAAAACCCCTCAATGGGTTCAGGCGCACATTGAGTCTGGGGCCCCCGCCTCAGCCACTGCTCGGTTTAGCCTCCCTCACGGTTGGATGAGCGGGAGCTAAGCAGCTTTGTCCGCGGATTCACCAACACCACCACCAACCCCCTTGGATACAGTAATCCCTCCCCAGACCCTCCCGGCCCGTTTCCCCCTCCCCTATGAGGTGTTTCCAAACTTTATGAAAGCTCATTTGGAGTAGTGTACATACAGGTTGTGATGTTTTTGGCTGGTCTTACATTCGAGTTTTGTAATTACTGAAGGGTTCTGGTCCTCACCCGATATTTGATGGTTTCCAGGGAACTGATTAGAGATCCATTCTCAGATTTCTCAGTTAAGAACTGCTTGGTGACCTCTGTCTTAAATCAATGTATAACAAACTGTCAAGTCTAACCCTTCTAATGTTTCAAATCAATAATTAATCTTTTTTTAGAACAAACTCTAAGGGAGACACTCCAGGTGAATACGTTAAAGTAGAGCCAGTTCATCGCCATAAAACGCAACTAGTTGATTACCTACTTTACCTACGAATATTCTTAATTTGGACTTTTTCAAAATCTTATGTTCAAAAATTCAAATTAGCCTTTACATAATGTAACATGCATTTAGGAGAAAATACAGATGCAAATAGTATAGAAAAATAACCCTTCGAATATGTATCTGTGTTTTCTTTCCTCTGATCTGAAAGAAGACCTGGTGTGCTCGCAAATAGTTAAAAGCAATGTTTTTGCCTGGGTTGTCGTCCCTGAACAAATTATAACCCCACCAATCATTGTAGAAATAGAAACTGTCTTTGTGCAGTTTAATGTTTGAATTGGTGTCACAGACACCATGAATATAAAATTCATTTACAGAAACCTAAGTGTAGAAACAACAGCTCTTGTCTTGTATTAAAGATCTTCTCCGTAGCGCTTTTGTGTTGCTATTAGCTCGTAATGTCACAATGTGTCAATTTGTGTTGTTTCAAGCAACATGAGACAAGTAAGTGATGCTTTGTCTTCAGCATATACATTACCCTGTGTGTTTATTTATGGTGTAAATAATAGTAAAATGATATTAATTGTAGTGCATGTCATCCATAAGGTTGAGATAGGTATCTGATCTCTCCACGTATTGGTATGTCCTCTCCAGGCTCGCATGGACCGCACCGACATCGGCACGCTGCTCATCCCCAACGTCCAGATGTCCGACTCGGGCACATACACGTGCGTTGGTAGCAACAGCATCGGCTCAAACAGTGCTCCCATTAGGGTCTCTGTGCTTAAAGGTGAGTTGTCTTGGTGGTGAAGAGCGAATCGAACCCGTAACCCTCCACCCTTTCATCTTCCCCGCTGACACATGAGAAAACCCAATTAGGAAGCACACGGTCTGTGTTTGAGCAGGGGACCACAGCGCCTCAGCGGTCAGCATCCAGCCATCCACAGCTGATGTACAGGAGGGACAGAGTATTGAGCTCAAGTGTTTGGCCCCTGGAAACCCACCGCCGCAAGTCACCTGGACGAAAGCCAGTGGACGGCTCTCCTCCAACCACCAGGTAATCACAGAAGAATGCAAAAGGTAAAAAAAATGCAGACTTTCGCCTCCCTTAAATCCCATCTGAATACTAATTCCTATAGGCAACATGGGAATGTTATTGTTAAGATAAGATATTATTTGCCCATTCTGGCAGTAGTTGTAGTTTTATGGGTGCTGGTAGGATTACATTACTTACTTTTCCTGTTAGCAGAACTGAAGGGACGTCATTTGTTTGCAGGTTTTGGGCAGTCGGCTGCGTATCCTGTCGGCCACTCCACAGGACTCAGGGGAGTATGTCTGCCGGGTGAAGGGCAACCCCGGAAACACCGGATCTCACGTCCAACCAGCCTCTGTGTCGGTGTCCGTCACTTCAACTTCTTCACGTGAGTTGGTCAACGCATCAGGCTTCATGCAGGTGGTATATTGTCTGTCTTTCAACAGAATGGAAAAGAGCCAATTTTGATTTTTCCGCTTTTTACCGTTTTTGATTTAATTAAACGTGACAGTTTTTGAGTTACATTTCATGTTAATTACAGCTGATGTCAGCTTCAGCTGATGTCAGCTTCAGTCAGAGGCCGGGAGAAACACATCGAGGGAAGGGCATTAGACATTAGAAAGATTTGTTCTCATACTGCCTCGCTTCATGAATCTACTTTTCAGTCTAGCCCAGTGTGATCTCACATCAAATTTTCCTCGCTACGGTCCCATGATCTCATCCCCATTCACTCCTCCCTCAAACTCAGGATTGTTTGAGATATTTAACTGCTCCCAATGAAGACCATAGTTATATGAATAGTTTTATGTTACTTCTGTGAACTATAGTCATTTAATGGAAATGTAACAGTAACTTTCTAATTAAAATATGTCAGGAGCCTAAAATGTTGGTTGTTGCTGCAGGTCTTCAGAGTCCAATTATCGCCATTGAGCCCCACATCACTGCAGTGAGTGTTGGGGAGTCAGCCAGCTTCAGGTGTAAGGTGCATAGCGGAGCCCAGCCTGTCAGACTGGAGTGGAAACTGGCCAGCAACCAGCCACTGCCAGGTAACAACCGCCCACACACACACACACACACACACACACACACTGAGTTCTGGTTTTATGATGTCATTTTATGCAAGCTATTACAGCTACAATCCACCCATGAATTACTCCATTGTTACTTCATGTAATGATTCATTTCCAAACTTGGTTTTCTCAAATGTATTTTCTGCAGACTTGCATTGAGTAGTTTTGCTGTACTAAAGTATTGCATGCCATTTAGCTCAGTAAGATTTGATGACATGCATTGAATAGTTTTGCTGTACTAAAGTATTGCATGCCATTTAGCTGAGTAAGATTTGATGACATATGAGTGCTTTCTGTAGCTTAGTATATCTGAAGCATTAAACCCCCAACTTTGAGCTTCAAAGGGTGTCTTGGATAAAAAACTTCAAAATACTCAAAATGTCCAGGATCACTATACTCAATATACTCCAACTCCAACAATAGTCTTCCATAGAATTGGGTGAATGAAAAAACACAAAAACATTGGATCACATACTTCTCATAATGCAAGCGATTAGCAGTTTCATTGCACTCCTCATATCCATATGTCCTAATCTACCAAACACATGTCTAACTTTAAATTAGCTGAATAGTGCCTACCATGATGAGTAAACTTAACAACAACAAGTATAAGGTCATTGAACTGCTCCGGCTCAGACTGATGAGGTACCATTTAACTTCAGATCTAACGTTTTGCTACTCTGATTTATAGACAATGTTAAAGTTGGCCCGGATGGTTCTGTTGTTACCATTACCAACGCCCGTCCCATGAACCACGGTGCCTACCGCTGTGTGGCAAGCAACCTGTTCGGCATCACCCAGAGCATCGTGTCTTTGGTTGTCAAAGGTAGGCCAGCGTTCAGTCGTCTCACAGCCATAAAGCTCTGAGGGAAGGGTCCCCCCTGGTGGCTGATTAGATACGGAGTCCTAGTATTTCGTATCTGTGCCCTCAGAGTCTCCTGTGGCCACTGTCACCCCAGTCGGACCCCTGCGTATCAGGGTGGGCGAACCCATTAACCTGGAATGCCAGGCATCTGGAGAGCCCCGCCCCTCGGTCTCGTGGCACAGGCTGGACCGGAACCGCAAGACCATCCTGACCAGCCCGGTGCCTATGGAGTCCAACGCAGTCATGCAGGTGATGTATTAAAGCTTCAAATCATGTCTGCCCTCAGCTTTTGCGTTCTGCCATTTGTGTCATTTCGTATGGTGAGATTTACATTTTTTTCCTTGTGCAGATACTAGTGGCACGTCGAGAAGACAGTGGCACTTATATTTGCACAGCTCGCAACAACGAGGGCTCCACCGAGACCAGGGTGGAGGTTATTGTTGAGGGCGGCTCCCAAGTGCCCGCGGTACCCCGGGCCTCGGTTCCTGAGGCGCTGATGGTCGTGGTGGAAGGGCAGACTGCAACGCTTCGCTGTGAGGCCCACGGTAAATGATGGCCGAAAATCTCATTCATACAGCTGGGAATCAGCTGAAGCACTCTTGCAGAAGATATCTGAAGATAAAACAGTTCTGTTCTTTTTGTTATGATGCCATTACATTAACATATTTTCATCTTCATTCAGGTTTCCCTTCCCCGACGATCACTTGGTCCAAGCTGCGGTCTCCTCTGCCGTGGAGACACAAGGTGGTGAACAACAGCCTGGTGCTGCCCGCAGTGGGCCGCCAAGACTCCGGAGAATACATCTGCACCGCAACCAACAACATGGGCACCACTGAGGTCACCGTCATGCTAGATGTAGAGAGTGAGTGCTGTGCTTTTGTTGTTTGCTGTCATTTTATTGGAATGAATTGTGGTGCGTACACAGTCAGTACACAATGTCTCATTTTGTAATGAGAACCAGAGGGACGGTAAACCGTTTTTTTCCCTCCAGCACCTCCTTATGCCACTTCAATGCCCGACGATGTGGCCGTGCGGGTCGGGGAGGTGATCAGGTTGCAGTGCCTCGCGCATGGAACCCCTCCCCTGACCTACACTTGGACAAAGCTGGATGGAAACCTGCCTCCGAGGGCCCAGGTTAGCGGAGGGGATCTTCAGATCAACCTGGCTTCCGCTGAGGATGCTGGGAGCTACAAGTGCGTGGCCAGCAACAAAGTGGCCAACAGCGAAGTGATCGCTAAAGTCACAGTCAGATGTAAGTTTACTGAAAATATCAGTAGGGCCGAGATCCTCCTTGTGGCAGTGGCAAGTGGGTGGCAACTTTGTGGCAGGCAGCGGCAATCGCCAGTAAATCAGTCGGCGTCACAACGGCACGCTGGGTGGGAGGAGCCAATTTTTCCCAGAAACAACTGTTATTTGTACGACAGGTCAGCTGCTGTAAATATTTTATTTTATTTAATTTTATTTGAGACACGTGAGCCCCCGTCTTCTTATTACGGAGGCTAATTTTAGGTTTGGACCGGCGGGTTCCGTGTAGGGGGTGGGGCTCTCAAGTTTGATGCCACCCACTTGCCACTGCCACAAAGAGGATCTCGCTGTCACTCGAAAATATTGTGTTTTGGAGAGTTTTGAGATGTTATCGATATGGATCAAGTCTGCTGCGAACCACATATGAAAGAAATGCATCTCTACAAGAGCAATAACTAAACATTTCCTTAATCCTTCCCTTCTGCAGCCCCCTTGGCGGTGCGTGTGTCACCCCAGGTTGAAGTAAAGGCCCAGGGCAGTGCTGTGGAGTTCACTTGTTCATCAGCTGGCGGTATAGAGACCAAAATTGAGTGGCTGAAGGAAGGAGGAGCCCTGCCACCAAACCACCACATCAAGGACGGGGTGCTCAGGTGACTCAAACACTGCCACTGCTGTCTGCCTGTTGAAACAAGCTCTGAATGTCTAGTTTTGCACGTTTCAGAACCAAAGTTAAGCAACAATTTACACATGATATGGACTGTAGGTCAGATTATACTTCCCCAGCCTCTCTGTGGATCTCATCAGTAGCACGTTGGTTTCTTCTGAAGATGTAAATCTTCTACAGTATACGTCATATAGCTTTAAGTCTTTAAAGGCTAAATGATTTGCTACAACCCAATAGTTTGCAGAAAACATCACTCAAGAAAAGAGTAAATATTGCACGTTGTGGTATCTATTTCCAGTCATGTTTTTGGTGCTCTAGCACAGCAGGAAGATAACCAGTATGTGGGATTAACTCGAGATGAACTACACTGCCCATGCCTCCTCTCAATAAAGGAACACGTGCAATAGTGTGGTTCATTGATGATTTTTAGAAATGTTGCCAATGGGATTTTTAATGGGATTTGTTGACAAACCATACGGAATCACCAGACCCATCCTTAAATGGCTTAAAACATTGAATTTCCTTACACGTTTTAGGCATATGGCGCCACATCGTTTGACATGTAAAGTAAAGTGTTTCATTGAATCTCTCTCTCTGTAGGATTGAGAACCTCGAGCAGAGCAATGAAGGCGTTTATATCTGCAGAGCCAGCAGCGTGTACGGTCAGGCCCAGGACGCCGCCAGGTTGACCATCCAAGGTCTGTGACGCCCACTGCCGATACACCAGTTCTTACCATCAGAGCCCAATGAAACCTGTTGCCGTTCTCTTTTCCTCAGCCCTGCCAAAGGTGATGATCAATGTGCGCACCTCGGTGCAGACTGTGATGATTGGGAACTCTGTGGAGTTCGAGTGCCAGGCCGTCGGTGACCCGGAGCCCACGGTTAGGTGGAGTAAAGTTGGTGGGTCTCTGCCCGCTCACATAATGGTGAAGGGCGGCATGCTAAGGATCGAGAAAGTGACGGAGGCCGACGCCGGGAAGTACCGCTGTACGGCGACCAACAACGTAGGCTCGGTCCAGTCGCAGGTGGTGCTGAACGTCCAGTGTGAGTGCAAAAAGGAGAAGGAAAGAAGCTAAACGCGTTATCTTTCCCTCCTGCTACACAACCAAGTCCAGGCACTTTGCAAATCCGCTCATTTAAACCCTCTGCCTGTTTGCACAGCCCTCCCTCAAATTGCCACGCTGCCTGAAACCAAGGAGGTCACAGTCGGGTCTGATGCTGTCTTGCCCTGCGTGGCCTCGGGGTACCCTGCACCCGAGATCAAGTGGTCCAAGGTAACCAAGATACCTCGTCGAATCCAGCGGCTTCATTTTTTGTGCCTCATGGTTTAGGATCTCTATAGACTTAAGAGGATTTGGACGTTTTGTCGGTGCTCATGTTATTTGCCATGCACATTGTGTCTCTCCGTGTCTGTTTGGGGTTTTTAGGTGGAAAAAGAGCTTCCGCCAAAGTGTTTCCAGGAGCACAACGTGCTGACGGTTCCTCGCGTCACCCATGACGATTCAGGGATATACGTGTGCACCGCCTCTAACAAACAGGGAAAAGTGGAGGCCTTTACTACACTTCAAGTTCACGGTTAGTCCGCGGTGTAGAGAGTGTGGTACGAAGGAAGCGTTTTGAGTATGAAATGCACTGTGTTCTGTTTCTACAAATAGATATGTGTTTTTTTTTTTACAGAGAGAGTGATGCCATACTTTGCCCAGGAACCCTTGTCCTACCTCACCCTGCCCACCATCAAAAACGCCTACAAGGCTTTCAGCATTAAGATCAACTTTAGACCTGATAATGTTGATGGTAAGAAATTTCAACCTTACATTTGCTTCACAGTTAAATCAAAGAGTTCATAAGAGACTTCTCTTGTTGTTGTGTTTTCTGCTTTTAGTACTATGTTGTGTACTATTGTTCATCATATTTCCTTGTGTATAACTTAACTGCGTCTTCTGTCCCCTCCCGCTCGCCCTCACCAACGTGGTGGGTAGGTCTCATGTTGTACGCCGGTGAGTCTCAGTGCTTGAGAACCTCAGCAACTACAGACTTGATGTCTGCAGCACTGCTTTTTGGCTCCATCCTTCTCTCACATTATGCATCTAGCTCAGAGCTGATTCAGAGGCTGTGAAAGAGATGTGCAACAAGATGGTGCATGTTTTCATTTTGGCTTTCATGAAACCCCATCGTCTTCAGAAGAGCTTGGTTACAAATCTACTTTTATGACCCGGTCAAAGCCATCAGCTTCTACACTGCCGACACAGCAGCCCTGCTGCATAAAAACACAGTTGCTGTATGCTAGAAATGTTAAATGCAACATACAGATTTCTGAAAAGTTCTGAAATCAGTGATAGGCACACAAAGTCTAATTGCTTCTGCAAAAAAAACATGGCTTCTTTCATCCCATGCGGGTTTGATGCGGGGATTTGACCGCATCATGAGTGAACACGAGGAAAATGTGTTATTCTTTAGATTTACTAGATTGAAGTGCTGTTTGGATTTTTGTGTTCTCATCACATCCCATCCGTCAGGTAACAAACAGCAACAAACCGGCCATGAATTTATTTTCAGAAGCCATTTGAACGCGCTTGGCTCCTCAAATGTGTGAAGGTGCAACGTAAACATGAAAATATTAACCTATGTGTATACTTACTTTACACTTCATCCACTTTGTGTTGCACATTCATGCATTCAACTCCGTCTTGATCGCTCATTTTCACAGCTAGGTGGATGGTGGATAGGTGGATGTGTGAGAGGGCATGTTCCCAGTTCCCTGTGAGCCTTTGCGGTTCTTGCCAAGCATGTGTTCCCAGCATGTGCAGACACAGGCGTGCCATGCTACAGCAGCCCAGTGATGGCCAGATATGAAGAAAGGTCATAGCCTGGCTTTGGTTGGCTTTAAAACCTTCACCATAGCATGCTGCCTACCGTCCAGCTTTCAAAGAATGTGCATAGATGACTCCGTTCCTAAGATAGTCCATCCCAACCAGACACTTACTCTCGTGTTAAGCCGAATGTTTTGGTTTACCTGAGGGAAGGTTCTACCAGTGGGCTGACGTGGTTATGTTAGGGATGGTTAAAAACTAAACACAGAAATTTTTCCACCTTGGACTCAAAGAATTTAAACAAACTGGAAGATTCAGTTTGTTTAAATACAACTACTACATTTATTCACTTGCCAACATGGGTATTACTGTAGGGGACACATTTAATATTAGGTTTTTACTGATTCCCGCTCATCCTGTTGTCGGGACGCAGGTATGCTCCTCTACAATGGCCAGAAGAAAACCACAGGAGCAGACTTCATCTCTCTGGGACTTGTGGGCGGCCGCGTAGAGTTCAGGTCAGTTTATACTCATCTTAAAAGTTCTACTAATTGACAGAAAGCTAGCTAGATGATCTTGTTGATAACGGTTCTGATGCTGTCGTAGGTTTGACGTTGGCTCGGGCATGGCCACCATACGCGATCCCAACCCCGTCAAAATGGGCGAGTTTCACACGGTTGAGCTGTATCGCAACCACACTTTGGGCTACATCACCGTGGACGGCAGGGAGCCCATCAATGGCACCTCACAGGTACTTCAACTCCCACCTTCACATATGTGCATTTGATTTATTAATGTGGGTAATTGTGTTTAATGAGTGCACATATTCTGTCCTCAGGGCAAGTTCCAGGGCCTGGATCTGAACGAGGAGGTGCATGTGGGTGGTTATCCCAACTACACAGTCCTCGCCAAAACAGCTGGAATAAACACTGGTTTTGTTGGTAAGACGTCACTCGGTTTACACCGAGAAAGGAAATAAAAAAATCCTATCGGGGTGAGGACTTATCATCTGATGTTGCTCTTACGCAGGCTGTATCCGTCAGCTGGTTATCCAGGGTGAGGAGGTCATTTTCAAAGACCTCGACCGCAGCTCTACTGGCGTCACGAACTGCCCCACGTGCAAAGACCACCCGTGCCAGGTCGGTTACCTCCATCCGCTGGATGCATTTATAGCATGTTGGTTTTTGTTAAATTCCATAGCAGACAGGATACTGCCTCCATGTCATTATTCAGAATGGAGGAGTGTGCGAGGACTCTGATGCCAGCTTGTACATGTGCGGCTGCCCCAGAGGATTCACAGGCAGCAACTGCCAGCATCACTCGTCCCTGCACTGTCACCCAGGTACACTGACAATCTCTCCCTGACCCCAAAGGCCGATCCGAGCACCCGGCATGTTTACAACTCCATTCCTGTCCACCGAAGGTATTTTTTTTAAAGTGTTTCATGCCTCTGTTTTTGACTTAAATTCCCGCAGAGGCCTGCGGTCCCGACGCCACTTGCATCCCTCGCACAAGCAGCCTGGGCTACGAATGCCGCTGCCATCTCGGCAAGTTTGGAAACAAATGCATGGATGGTGAGAATGGACTGGATTTTACTCTCAGCTACAAAGAACTTTAGCAAGATCTGAGATGTTGCTACTGATGCCTGCAATTCTCAACTAAAAGGTATTTTACCTGTTTGTTCACTGTCACTAGGGGAATTGGTGACCACTCCACTATTTGGCGAGGAGTCGTACATCGCGTATCCTCCCCTGACCAACGTTCATGATGACCTGCGCGTTGAGCTGGAGTTCAAGCCCATGGAAAGAGATGGCCTGATGTTCTTCTGTGGAGGGAAGAAAATGAAGGTGGAGGACTTTGTAGCAATCTCCATGGTGGAGGGACACGTGGAGTTCCGATATGAACTGGGCACAGGTAAAGTATCTAATCGTTTGTGGTTCTCCTTAAAATAAAATCCTTTTGCAAATTGACATTATTAAGATTCTTGGTACAGTTAGTTAGAGAGGCTCAAATTGAGACGTAAAAATGACATTCAAGTTCTGTTTGTGCCTCTTCTTATTTTTTAGGCCAAGCAATCCTTCTAAGTCCCGAGCCAGTGTCTTTGGGCCAGTGGCACAGTGTTGTGGCCGAGCGAAACAAGAGGGTCGGCCATCTTAAAGTTGACCAAGGCCCAGTGGAGAAAAAAACGTCTCCAGGAAAAGCCCAGGGCCTCAACATCCACACCCACATGTACCTGGGAGGAGTCCCCGACATGGACATCCTGCCTAAGCCTGCTAATATCAGCGAACTCTTTGAGGGATGTATAGGAGAGGTGAGATCTCTGTGCCCAGAAAGGAGAGAAAATGTTATTAATGGTGTCCAGTATTTGTGGCTCAAACGTATCTCTGCTGCCCGCTTAGGTTTCTATCAACAACAAGCAGGTGGATCTGTCCTACAGCTTCACTGACAGCAGATCCATCCGCAAGTGTGTGGACAACAGCCCGTGTGACCGCCGGCCCTGCCTGAATGGGGGCGACTGCCTGTCAAGTTTTGAATATGAGTACCAGTGCCTCTGTAAGGACGGATTTGAAGGTGAGCGTTCATCGACTCAAAAGTCTCCTTAACACTGGAAAAGGCACAGCATCAAATCTTCCCATTCCAGGAATCCCTGCTCCGTGTTTGTGGTTTCAGACTTCATTATACGTCTCCTTCACTATAAACTATGATCATCTCGTAGGAGGATCGAAACGTCAAATGGAACTCGCCCTGCCTTTGGTTTAAGTCTTTCATTCCTGACCCATAACTGGTATGTGACCCCTCAGGTGAGCGCTGTGAGGTGGTGAGAGACGCGTGCCAGAGCAACCTTCAGTGCCAAAATGGTGGCAGCTGTGTCAAGGGCCAGTGTGTGTGTGCACCCGGCCGCACGGGTCTAAACTGTGAAGAAAGTAAGTATTGACCAACCAGACAACCGTGTGTATCAAATCTAAAACAAAGCCAGAAATGATAGAAAATATGGGAGGAAATGGTGTAGTTGTGTTGTTGATTACTTATTACATAATTTAGTCTAAAAGGAGTTCTAAAAAGATCTCCAGATCTTCAAAGCATTTCTCCCGCTAGCAAATTACGTCCCGCACCTGCATCTCATGGCCAAAGAGACTCATCATCAAAGTCTAGACCCGCAACCAGAAAGGAACACACGTGGCTCACATTCTCCCCAGTATGAAGCCCGTCTAACATCAGACGACTCACCCCCCCAGCTTTGCACCGCATGCTGGGAGGGTTAAGCCTCAGTGATCACGTGTGTTTCACCCCTGCACTCTCAATGCTATATATCCTGCACACACAGGCCAGGTCTCCAGCTTCCCCGAGGCCCAGAGGAATTCGGAAAGTAGCGAGTTAAATGGTACAGTATCTTAATGTTCAGTCTGCCTGACACGACTGTGACTAACAGGGGCCCATCTGAGCTCGAGGGGCACGGCGTCCCCTCCAAGCCCAACCCAAGCCTGTCTGTTGCCTAACACATGTTCGCGCATACCAAACATGCGTCTGTACTCATCTGAGGCTCCTGTGCCCGTTGTAATGCTGGGAGAGGGGAATTCTGGGTCTGTGATAAAAGGTAACAGGTGGCTTGTCGGGAGATCGACTGGTTCTAAATGTGTAAATGTGGAATTGCACTTGTTTTTCTTTTTTCCTATCCTGTCATGTCAGTGCCTGTAAGACGGTAACTTATAACAAAGTCTTGTCCCCTTCTCCCTCAAGAATGCCTAAGATATACAGTAACACTTGTTCTTCTCTCTCTCTCTCGCTCTCTCTCTGTTGCACACATTTATTCTGTTACTAACATCTCAAATGTACTTGTTGAAAGCACAGTGTGATGGTGTTTGGGTGAGATGAGATGCATTTCGAATACAGGTACTCTTGCATGAACCCGTGGTGAGTTCAGTTTGATCTCAGTGAAGCGTGAGAGGAGTTACGTTGGACTGTCATGGTTTTGCATCATGGAGCCTGGTTTGGTCATATCGAAGAGTTTTGCCGTCTGTAATGTAATGACTACGATAGTACTGTGTCACTGAATTGATAAAGTAAAACATCTGTGACCATTTAAATTGTCTGTGACATGCTAAAACCTATTATAACAGTAAGCAGAAATGAGCAGTAAAGTCATCAGCGACCAAGCAAGTATTCATAAGACATCAAGTTGTATTGCTAATGAGTTCAATGTTTCTTTGATAAGAGGAATAATGTGTTATTTGTTTATTTCAGAAGTTGCATGGTCTCGTTTTAAACACCAACAACACATAATATACATTTCTAAGGGATTTCAGAATGCCTCCTCTTTGTCTCTTCTCTTTATAACCATCCCTCTGGGTCACTTCATCCTTCTGCCACTGGAGGGCACTGCAGCAGTGGGAATGAAAGTCCACAGCAACCGGATTATTATTTAAATATCATGTTGATGTGTATTTAATTATTCTTTTTCTAGATTCACCTTACCAGTATGCAGCTCATTTCCATGACGATGGATACATCGCCCTTCCTAAATCTGTCTTTCCGAGAAGGTAATTAGTTTGCTTTTCAACACTGTTGAAACAATTATAACCCATTGTTTTTCAAATTAAATTGGTTCTAGTACACCTTTGGAGTAGTGCAGGGAGTATGGGAGATTTAGTATTTAATAATACTAAGAGACAGCCATGAATAATTCATTATACTATAATAAGTTCATAAAAAAACCTTTCTGCTGTGTCAGCGCCCATGACTCACCAGAGACAATCGAACTGGAGATCAACACAAGCTCCTCTGAGGGCCTGATCCTGTGGCAGGGAGTGGTGAGTCCTGCTCTTGTCTTCAGACGTACTAACAGTACCGGGCCATTATTCCAAATCTTAAAACGGATACTTATGCATTCCCTTTTACAATTGTCATACTCACCCTAGCATGTCTACTGCACTTAAGAACTCTTAATTCATCACCATTGCCTCATCTTTAAAGACGTGATGCTCATTAGTTTTGTGTCCTCTTTACTCAGGCGTCAACAATAATACATCTCTTACACAATACTGCATTCTCTTTCATTTCAGTGTTCACTGTTTAATTCATCCTCTTCCCATTGAGGCTGAGACATCTTTGGGCATGTTGGCTGCAAGCCAAGCTCCATCTCACACCACTAAATAAATGCATGTTGCTTCTCTAACTCACCCTCCATTTTCCTCAGGAGACCACTGGCGCACGCAATTTGCGAAAGGTGCATGCTAGTAAAAAGGTATCCACTCGAACGCAAGACACTGGTTATTTATTTGCTTCATACCATATGCTTTACATTCACACGTTCAATGGTTTTATAAGATACTACTAGAGAATTCCTACATTTGAAATGAAAAGGTGTTGATACTTCCTACTGTCACTGTTATTGTATGTTATTAAGGCCTTAAGTCACACAAACACAGTCGGGAGCAATCTGTCTGAGTTGCCTCATGTTTGCTATTATAACAGTTGGTGCGAAAAACCACTGAAGCTGTTCAATGATTCTCAGTATTCAATCTCAAAACATTCTCTCCCTCTACTGATCAAAACACATGTATTTTCCAGGAACGTGGCGAACATGGCAAAGGCAAGGACTTCGTAAGCCTTGGTCTGCAGAACGGACACCTTGTTTTCAGGTGACTAAGCCGAATTACCCTGTACTTCTGTGTCAGTGCTTATTAATGTCGCACTGATGCTGATGACTGGTATGATATCCAGTTACCAGTTGGGGAGCGGAGAGGCAGAGATCTTGTCCCAGAAAGCCATAAATGATGGAAGATGGCATAAGGTCACAGCAGTCAGGTAAGTTAGCATTTATGTATATATACTCTGTATGTAAATGTGTATATATATATATATATATATATATACACATTTACATATATATATATATATATACACCCATGTACTTGACATATAAAGTGATGCTGATGTCTGTGAACTGCTTATACAATTTTCTCATGCTTGGTGCTTGTATTGACAAGTGTCTCGCCTCATGTTTTCCCTTTTGTTACAGAACTGGAAAAAACGGATACATCCAGATTGATGGCGGAGTCGAGCTATCTGGACAGTCTAAAGGCAGAAGCCTCATGGTCAACACCAAAGGCAGTATATACCTCGGTGGGTGAATTGAAAGCTCGGAGGCCCACAGAACTGAACTTTAAAGTGGTGAAGCGTTATGTTGAGTTCTGTGCAAAATACAAAAAATACATTAAGGACCAGACTTTTTGATGAGCTATAGCTGAACTGTTCTTCATGAAACTACTGCTTCACACTGCAGCAGAATTACTCTGTAACACATGTTAGCCTGCAAGCTAACACCAGCACAGTCACTGTACGGTTCCTCCACTTCAGAAATAGATAATAGAACCTCAAATGCTTCATTTTTTTTGTAGTTCTTCCAGATTCATTGAGTTGCGTCAGAGATAAAGTGTCCTGAAAACTGTGCTGTGTGGGTCCAAATGTCCAAGGAGGAACGTCCTTGCTTACTTTTTTTCCTCCTGCCCTCCGGCCACAGGAGGAGCCCCAGACATGGCCGCCATGACAGGAGGGAAGTTTTCGTCGGGAATGACCGGCTGCGTGAGGAACCTGGCCATGATGAATGCCCGGCCGGGACAGCAGCCGGCCCAGGCCATCGACCTGCAGACCCACGCGGCCCACGGCATCAACGTGCTGCCATGTTCGTCATAGATAGCTGCACATGCGGAAATACACGCACGCACACACACACACACACACACACACACACACACACACACACACACACACACACACACCAGCACACACAGAGACTATGGAGTTATGTCATGCAGAGACACAGCATACGCACACAGAGAGACTCGGTGCTTTGCTGCTACCAAAAAAATGCCAAGACGACACGACAGGATATCTTTCTCTATGTGCAGCAAAACCAAAAATAGAGAGAAACCATGAAACAATATTAACACGTTTTCTACTCTGTGGTGTATTCTCAATGAAGGACAATTAACACAGGAGAACCAGAACGGTTTATATACTTCCAGCAGTAGTTTAGTCATGAAAAGAGTAAGACTATAACATATTAGGCTTTCTACGATGGGTCAGATCCTATGGAGTTGGAGATGTTTTTACAGCACTGAATTTTTATTTATAGACATATGAATATATATATATATTATATTTGTTGGGGGGAAACATGCAAACTAACCATAACTGCTCTTCACCTTCCCTAGAGTTGATTCTGGGTTCTAATAATGTGTGTCCAGGGCTTTGTATAGGTCTAACTGTATTCATACTTGACGATGTTTAGGCCTTCTTTCTTCACTTCTGTAGAGGAACTTTTTTTTTTCCCCCGCAGGCGAGCATGCATTTACACTCTCTTACAAATTACTGAGAGATGAGTGCACATGGTCACTCGCAGCCTCAGTACACAACTCAGGTCGCCAATACCAATTAATAACCAGAAATGTTACATACCACCACTTTAACTCAGCCAATCTCTTGATTTGCAAGTCCTTCAGAGCGCTTCAGAGTCCTCTGTCTGTATTTGTTCTTTCTTATGACAAAGAAAGAAACTATGGTGCTAATGTCAGACATAACAAACGGCACATACTCAAATGGTTGCCTGTCTGTCACAGGTACTGTAGAACAATGTGGTTACTTGGATTAGGAAATTCTACTCAGATCTGTTAATACATTCATGGCGTTTGAGGTTGATTTGCAGAAAAATATGGCATCATTTGTTGCCTCCACAGCCATACTTGGCAGTAATTTGCTATTTCTGTGCCAGAGAGCTAAATATCTCGAGGAAATGAGGGTGAATACTTTTTGTTGGTTATGTATGCTTCACTCCCTTCCATTTCTCACAGGTCACCGTACTTTAAGCCACAGTACGTGTGTGTGTGTGTGAGTGTGTGAGTGTCATGTTATTTTCAGGTTTGGTAGCTTCAGCAATGCATCAACCTACAAAACTGAAGTCTCTGAGGTGTTCTCTGCAGAAGGAGATGCATCTGCAGCAAACAGCAGTATTGGACACAGTTGGGATAGTGTGTGTGTGGGAATGCAGTGGACGCCTCATGCAGGTGCTGCGACCAGTTGTGTAGCTCGGATAAAGCGTGCTCGCCCACCTTTAGTTTCAACCACACCACAATACTGCAATAGCATGATCACTTTCACAAATCTTTTTTCTCATTTTTATAAGCTTAAAATATGTGTATTAATATCATTCATAGCATTAAAAAGAGCACTATCCTTTCTCCTAGTTGACTCATTTTTATTTATTGTTATGCGTTTTCTATCTTTCTCTTTTTCCTCGCTTCTCAAGGCTTGATTCTGCTGTTAGTAGAGCACTCACATCTCTATTTTCTTTCCTCTGGTTATTGTGTATTGCCTCCCACAGACCCTTTTTCCCCCCATCGTGTTTGAGTTTAGGAAGTTTATCATGAATCCTCAATAAAGTTCCATGAAAGGTTAATGAATAAAACCATGAACTGATTGGTCAAAGGTTGAAAACAGGTCTTATTATTCACTCAATGAAAGAGATTGTAGGCGCCAAATTCAACACCTGTAATATATATCTATGCAGAAAGTTGTCATCATGTTGATGCAGATGTGAAGATGTGGATTAAATGGAGCCACGCTTGTGGTCCAGATGTAGGACAGTGAAGCAGAGATTGATAGTGTGTAAACCCCTTGTCGGATGCCTTTTGTGTATCTGCTCTTAGACTGAATTTTCATATATATACACTGTACTCTCTTTCCCAAACGCTAAGTTGTCAAGAAACTGACCCTGCTCCTTGGTTGTTTGATGGTCATTGCAAAATATGACAGGTGCACTTGTATAATGATGGACATTTTTATTTTAAAATTAGTTTTGCTTCTAAATGCCACGGAAAGAGGATAACTTGAATGAAAGTGTACCATATGAAATGTTTAAAAGATGCTTCCCTTGCTTTTGGTGTTTCTTAATTAAAAACAAAAATTCATGTACTATTTTTAATCTCCTGAGCTTTCTTTTCGCCGGGTCTTAATTGCTGTGATTGGCTCAACGCTGACTGATTTTGTTTAGATTGAGCAGTTTTGCCACAAACCACATTATTGATCCCATATAATCCATTGTACAGGTAATTGTTAAGGTTATCCTGTCTGTTAGGGTTTCGGAAAGCTCTCGAGGGAGGCCTCACTCCTTTGTTCTCGTCCCGGCCGGAAACGAGGACACGAATGAGTCAATTCGTTTAAATTCAAAAAGTATTTAATAACTAAACAACGTTATAAGGAATGCAATTACAAAGTGAAATACTAAGCAAACAGTAAAATATTTCGCGAAATAGAGAATCCTCTGAGCAAGTCTAAAGCGACTTATCAAAGCTGCAGGAGGATTCTCCCAGTCCTTTCCCCGCTTTGGTCCTTTGTAAACTCTTGAGGTGTGTCTTCCTTGGTGCATTTGAATGTCATTGGCTTCTTCTCCAAAGGGCCACCTCCTGCATTGCCCCTTTCACGTCGAGGTGTGAAGCTGCAGCTGTAACCTGAAACCTCTCTGTCCTAGCTGTCCCTCACATTCCAATGCACTCAATGTAGATACAGTTGGCTTTATGCCTCAATGAGTGAATTTAACAAAGCATACATCGTTTAAGTCTTCATCTTATAACTAGTACACTTTCATTACAACAACCCATCATTTATGATCACCGTTCATCACGCTTCATCATAAGATCTAAGACAGTTCATGTGGTTCAATTTTCAAGACATTTGCCTCAGTTGGCTGCCTTACAATAAGTTGTTCATTTATTACCTGACAGGAGAAAAAACTCCCAAAAAACGTCGTTTTTTGTGCAGACTTATTTCCTAAATGTATCATTTTCCCACTTTCCCAAAAAATAAATAATTCCTTTCCGAATCCATATGAATCCAGCCAATTCTTCGTAGTATATTTGCAGTCTTGTATTTTTTGTTGTCTGCTTTTTGTCTTTCCCTCTTCTCTCCTTGAGTCCTGAGTTTTTCTACAATTTTCATCAGCTGACCTTCCACCTGCTCCTCTGCTTTCCATTTTCCCAACAAAGCTGGCTGCATACTATAAAGCGCCATTCATTGTTAATCAAAGATTAGTAGCCGTGTGCAAATATGACTCCACAGCCAGATATGTGAGCTTTGAGACAAGGTCAGCTTTGAAATGATATGACACCGTCGCTAAAAGTCTGATTTGAATGAAACTTCATACTCTATCTATTCTTCAAATTTGCCTCAAAAAAACAAAAAAATGTACTATGCAAAACATTGACTCATTGTTAGAACTTTATTTATTATTATTATTATTTATTTATTTATAATTTATATATAATTCCTGTTCACATTTTGATTTTTTTTCAAGAAAACGTTTTTGACGTTTTTGTGGACCATCACTGGACCAGGCTTATTACAGTTTGTTCATGGCGTTTTCAAGATATTATTATTATTATTTAAACACATTTGTGGCATTTAGGTAACTTGTACAGAACTGAAATCCGCTTACTGACCTCCTTTATTCAACAGCGTATTTCCATGTACTCTATTTAAAGTCCCTCGTCTCTAAGACTGTCCAGCTGTGACGCCAAAGTTAATCCACAGTAACATTTCGTATATAATGGAAAATAAATAGAATCCCAACATAACACTGACGCAGCACTTGAATGCCTCCTTCTTCATTTCGAGAGACTGGTATCATATCTCAGATGCGGTGAAGCCTTGCGATCATTTCCTGTCAGAACTGCATGTCTTGTTACTACGCTTTGGTTGTGTTGTGTTACAGCGTCGTGCCAATAGCAGTTATTCTACACAAATCCTGCTTACTTATACTTTTCTGTCAGTGGCATTTAACAGCAGCAGGGGGCCTTGGGCCTGGCCAACACCTCAATCATTATTTACAGTAACTCAATAGTCAATCCGCGGCTTATTTAGTGGCTCACGTTACCGCAGTTTTACTTTTGTGAAAATGACAGCGGCCTTCAGGTTACATAGAAATGCAAGAGGCCCTCTGTAGCACCAGTGATGGGTTTTCTCATTCTGAGCTACTGAAGTTGGTGGTACAAATCGGTGGAACCAGCTTTCTAAGTAGATATGATGGGTTCAATCTAACCAAATGCAAATGATAGAACGTCACGTGACTACACTGATGGGAGAACGTAGTCATAAATGCTTTCTGATGAAACACACTGGCTCTTTAAATTCAAGGAAAAACAAAGGGTTACGCTCTAAAATGCGATTCCTCCTTTTTGTAGAATGCAGGACGCGCTGGTTTGATGATGATAACCCGAGAGGAAATGGAGACTTTGGGTCCTCAGTGACCTCCGAAGCAAATACCCGAGAGAAATCTGCCCTCAGCCGATAGCCATCGAGGTCCAGACCATCTCTGGGGAATCCGCCTCCCACACAACCGATACCTTTTTAAAGTGAGATTAACAACACAAACTAAAACTATTGAATTACCTAAGGACACTCACCAGCCTTCTTCTCCTTGTTGCAGTTATGATGCCACTTTCGGGTTTGCCTGTGTAAACGCAGAGCAGGGGAGCAAGCGTTGTGAAGATTACAAAGTCAGATTTACATGTCCGAATGAGTTCTGTGAAGGTAATTTTCTTCTGCTGCTTTGGAACATACGAAAGTCAAAGTACTGTTTTTATAATTGCCAAGAGAATTAATATCATAACCATTTTCACAACAACATTAACTTGCACGTCTTTGCTGCAAATTGTCAGCACCCTGTAACAGGCAACCTGACCCTAGTTTATCACATGACATGCCCAGTGCATGCTGGGATGGAATTCAAGTTATGTGTTATTTACAGTGTCAGAGCAGTGTCGAACCCAATGGTTGAATAGTGATGACCCGTCAGACGAAGGGGACGTGGAGTCCATATTTCAGCTACTGAAGGCTTTCCCTGGTCAAGTCTGTGGAAACCCAGTCAGCATTGAGGCCCAGTCGACCAGTCGAATATCTGCTGAGCGCACCGGAGACACCTTCCTCTCGTAAGCACGCGTTCAGTCAGACATGTTGGTGCATCATCAGGCTTTCATAATCTCATAGTCTTTTTTATTTGTTTTATATTTTCAATCCAGCTAGGATACTATTTTTGGATTTGCGTGCATCAACATAAAACAGAGCGGTAAACAATGTAAGGATTATCAGGCGTTACTGACCTGTCCCTCAGATTTCTGTCACGGTGAGTATTTATGTTGATTTGTAACTTTGTCCTCTGAAGCTTCTTTTTGGTCTTTCCCCCTTCTCCCCTTGAGTCCTGAGTTTTCCTACGATCAGCTGACCTTCCACCTGCTCCTCTGTTTTCCATTTTACAAACCTGGCTGCATACTATAAAGCGCTATTCATTTTTAATCGAAGATTAGCAGCCGTGTGCAAATATGACTCCACAGCCAGATATGTGCGCTCTGAGACAAAGTCAGCTTTGAGAAGTTATAATACTGCGCCAAAAGTCTGATTTCTGATTTTGTTTTTATGAAAGAAGAAGAATATGCCTATAATTCAGCTCTCCCCAGTAGGTGGACTGCGGACCTTTGACCCCTAACCGCTAGAGTTCCAGTGTCAAAGGAATAGTTTCGGTGGGAAAGTTTGGTAGGAATATTGATGCCACTCTTCGGTCTGTACGGTAAATATAAAGCTACAGTTGGCAGGGAGTTAGCTTAGCAAAAAAGCTGAAATTATATTGAGTGTCTTGCATAACCCAAATTCCTCCCCTCCGAGCGGTTCAGTATATCATGGTGCATTAAGATTATGATTACGGGTTTTACACGAATCACTGCGGTTTATATGAGGAAGTTGGTTTGTCTTCCTTATTAAAAACATAGATGGAACAACAGTACATTTTCCATACAAGGCCATAGTACACAGTTTAGGTTGACTACGTTGGTCCGGCACTGTTCTTGGTACTTTGGAGCTTTGGAGATACTTGGCAGATTTTGTAACTGTGAAACAGAGACAGTCTTTGTGCTTAGCTTAAGTACAGTTATCCTTCCTCGTAAAGAGTAAACTGAGATTCACGTGTAAATCTGCAATAGCTTTCTCACTGAATGTTTTGCAGATTTGACGCTACTCGTGGCTTTGCGTGTGTGAATGCCGGGAAGCATGGTGGAAAACTCTGTCAGGACTACAAGGTCTGCCTTACATGCCCGCTGACTTTCAGCTCAGTGTGACCTATGAGTGCATATTTCTTCATGGAATTTGCTGTTGGTGCGTGGTGTGTATTGTCTGATGAGCCACCATGATACGTCACCAACCTATAGAATAGAAGTCTTCCAGGCTCATGGCTCCAAGACAAGACGTTTTGTCAAACAGCTTCAATAAAAAAGGGTTTGAATAAATCTGTGAGGTATACCCTCTTCTTGTATTCCTCTGATTTCATATGTTTTGTGTTCTCTGACGTTAAAATCCGATTTTAATGGTTTAATCAAACAAAACCACATTGCTGAGTTGTTGAAAAACAGCATGGTTGGAAAACATCATCACTACTACTATTAATGTTTTTACTAATTAAAACACTTTCTAGAACTATCCAGAGTTAGTTAGTTAGTGAATCACGGATTTGGAACTGACAAGTTATGTAACTTTATACTAAAAAAGTCTAATAAGGCTCAAATCATTCTCTAAAAACATGCTCTACCAACGTTTCAATTATAGTTATAACTGAAGGTAACCGTGTTAAAACTAGTTGCTAATGACTAACTTCTTCATTCATTAAGAAAGCCGATGTTTATTTGTGGAAACAACGACTTGGTCCTTATCTAAGTCTTGACTTGCACAACGCATGCGTGCATTGTTTTTTTCGTTCATACTTCCTCATATGACGCAGTAAGAGCAGTGACAGCAGGAGAAGAACAAATTCCCCTACATCATACAACAATGATGCTACTGAAAAATGCAACACTTTTTACAAAATACAAATTGTATTTGATTAACATAATGTATTTAATATTTATGTGGCTTTATTGTCTTATTGTACTTAGATAGCCTATATAGCCTCGTTGCAATAGCAGAAGCCCATTCTAGAGAAAAATATAATTTAGCTTTATTCCTTTCACAACGACTTCTTTCAAAAACCAAAGATGTAATCTTAAAAAAAACAAATCCCCTCCGCGTCCTCCCGTCTACACTCCCTCTTTCGTTTTCGATGAAACGATAAAAAAACAAGTTATAAAATAAGGGCACGCACCGGAAGCCTCATTTCTCACCTCAAATAACCCGGACGCGGCCTCTACATAATAAAATAACCTAGAAGAAGAAACTAGCAGCAATAGTGGCGTCATTTCCGGTGGAAAATTCCAGCGGATTTATCCTTGGTCTTTAAAAGGACGCGCTGAAACAGCGGCTGTGAAGTTGTAACGTAAACTGCCGATGTTACTGTAGCTCGCGCGGCCACTGAATATACCAAAGAGATTTAAGGGATACAGACATCATCCACGTGGGAAAAAAAAGAAAACGAACGCCCACACGCTCCTAAACTACGTGCGCATTTAGACTTCTCCGTCATTGGACTTGTCTATACTTTGTCATCTTTGAAGGTCCCGTCAGGTAAGATGAAACTATGCACACGTTTGTTTTGGCACTTGCATCTCCATCGTCGGTGGTGAAGATCTTCTTTTTTTCTTTTTCTTTTAGGCAAATGTAGGCCTGCTTCGCACGAGTCGTTCCGTTTGTCTGTGACGCAGTTGCGTCGCGGTGTTTGACATCTTTTAACATCCGCATCCACAACCGTCGTTTATTCTGCATTAAGCCATTGAACAGGCAAGATGAGCACGAGGGCTGGACAATTTAACAACAGCAATAATACGACGTAGAGATGTTAAACGACGACAGTAAAGAACAAACACCCCCCTCGGGGCAATTAACCAAATAACAACCACGTAATCATCTACGAACACACCTGCTTAATTCCAACACCTCGAACAAAACCCACAAACGTATTATTATTCTGAGGGGTTTTCAAGGGTTTAAATAAAAATAATTCTGTGAGGGTGTGTTGTGAGAAACAAAAGGATTTTCGAGAGGAGGGCCCGAGGTGTTCACCTGTTGCTCCGACGTCACACCGCTGCGCGGTTTGTTCTAGAAGGAGACGCTCGCGCGCCGAGCGGCTGTCGCGTGCGAGTGAAGACGCGCCGCGGGCGCGTATCCTGGCGTACGCTCAATTACCTTTTTGTTGACGTTTTGCCATCTTGCTTTCGGCAAATTAAGAGTTGTGGAGCCAAACATTCATTGACAGAATAAACCTGAACTAAGTTGTGACGCAACCGATTAAAATAGTTCAGATTTAACCGATGACTCAACGCGTACACATGTGGCGCATTATGGACTTTTTATGTGACATGACGTTGCTGAAACAGTGTATGTTTGAATGTCATAATGTTAATAGAAGTAAGCATTTTTTCATTTTTATTTTGTATTTCCTTTACAGCTGTGAACCAGACAATCATGATCCTGCTGTCTTCCTCCTCTGGTAGGTACTTCTTTCTGAATTTCACCTCCATGGTTGGATTATTATTTGAATGGGTGCCAGAAGTCCAACCTACATGGAGGTCTACTCGGATTAAATTAGGCAGGAAAACAACCACAAATAAGAATGAATAAAACAGCAACAACATAGAATACATTTAGCTTAAAGTGGATTTGAGAAAAGTATGAGATGCCATTATATTAAATGATGTGGAGGTAGACACCATCACTTCATGTTAATAGTTCCTCAATACTGTACGAATAAATGAACGTGCAGTGTACCTATTCCACACAGTTTGAGGATAGTTTGTTATCATGTTTTATTGTTGTTGTGACTGGTGTTTAGTATTCAGAACGAATTGCAATGGCATTGCCTCGACTCTAACCCACTATCACAAAACAGAGTGAACTCTGTTTATATTGTTCAATTGGGTCGAGCCAGAATGTGCCTGTTCTGAATTGATTTCCTCGTTTTTCTTTGTACTCTAGTTGTTACTATAACACACAACACAGCAGAGCATTAGATTACAAGGGCCTCCCAATCATGCTTTGCCGTCACTACACAACAATCCAGAAAAAGAGAAAGAGACCTGCTCGAGACTGTCAGTGTCTCTGGCTTTACCCGCTTTTTATTTGTGACCACGACAAGTGTCTGAAAGCGGTTAAAGCAAAACTTTGCAGTGAGATCTGCAACCTCACTGACTTTACACGTGGAGCTGCACACGCGCCTCCCTAATTGTTTCAACTGTGACTAAAGTTAATGAAGCTGACTATTCCATTAGCAAACTGCATTAACTAATGTGTTTGTTTACCCATGAACAGTTCTCAGATAACAATCCAAATGCCAGGTTGTGAATTGTTTTAAAATCCAAAATGAGAAGTAGAAAGCATGCTGTCAAGTAAAAGTGTAAGTTATTGTTGGCTTTTGCTGTGTCTCATACGCTGTTTTCTTTCAGATGAAGAGTGTCTTGAACTCGCCTGGCTTTGGAGTCACAGGAAGTTCAGGGTGAAAACACTTGAAGGGTTGCTACTGCAACATTTAAAAAACCTTAAAGCTTTGCAGGTCAATTTATCTGTGCACTCTGTCTTGGACTGTACTATGACGAGAGAAAGCCATAAACTCCCAAGAGAGGAGGCAGACGGGAAACACTGGTTTCTTTGTTTGTCTTCATTTAAAAAAACATCAGGGCTTTAGAGGGCAGGAAGAAGTTTCTGGCTTTTTGGTCAGTGTCAGAAGGCATTCCATCTTGCTGACTAAGCTGGATCGTTCATACTTTTAATTGTATCTTCAAATCAACTACATTGTTCAATAATTCTAAGTTAATACTAACTGCACTTTAAACAAGCTTCATCAAATTAAATTGACCTTCTACCCCCATGCCGTCAGGTACGGTAATAGTTACTGTGTGTTTTACGTAAACAATGAGAGGCTGTAGATCTATCTTTATATCATGATCCTGATTCAAGCCTCAGCTACATTGGTATTAATAGATTTGAATAGTGAGATATTTAATCCTGCAGCCACGTCTTTGTCTCAGGTCGCCACGTTTGATTAGGCTAATAAATCTGTCTATGGAGGAGGTCAAACTCAATCTCAGCTATTGCCAATGGTGTATGTGATAGTCCCATAAATGTCCCCACCTTGTTTTCCCACACCAGTATTTGTGTGTGTTTGACCCCTAATCTGATTACAATTGAGTCCTAACACGACACATGCATCCCGTTCAGACATGTATCCTTTTGATGTTTTTTCTTTGCAAATATTATCTGTTGATATTGAAACTGAAACTTTGCTGCATGCTGCTTTTTAGCTAAAATGTTAAAATAATTTGAATTGCTTAGATATAACTGATTATTGGATGAGTAGATGATGAGAGACTGCAATGTTGCATGCTATAGGCCGCGAATGAACGAATGTACAGTAACAAATGCATTTTAGTGATCTGAAAGTGGATGAATGTATCATACGGTCGATCTTCGTCCAATATACATACGTCTTGGTAAGTGATGCTTCTTTTACATTAGACCGGGTAATCTCCTTTTTAAAGTCACCCATTAAAAAACAAACATACAAATGCTACAATATCTTGCCATATATTTTGTGTTAATCAATTAGCATCAAGAATATTTTCAGAATTTCTACACATTTCTTTTTCTTTCACTTCAACTGGAGTTTTGACCCAAACTGGCACGTAATTATTAAGTTGTCCACAACTTAGACACCTTCATCAAAAGGTCAGCTGCTACTGTCACCCGGTGATAGTGAGGATTTAGCTTTTAGCTGTAGCAGGGCAGGGGTTAGTGACATAACACAGACAACTACTAACTGCTGTTGTTGTGTGGTCTAAGGTCTCTTCCAGTGTACCAACAAGCTCTTTCTGAGTGATGAAGCCACAGGACTCCAGATCAAGGAGTTTGCACGTAAAAATGCAGCCAATGCTCTGTCACTTGCTAACATGGTCATGGGCATTGCCTCCATTCTCAGCAGTCTGAATGGGTGAGTTTTCATTATTGGATTTATTAGTCATGCTTAGCTGCAGGATGACCAGACTCTATGGCTTGGTTGGAATCATTCATAAAAAGACAACCAAATTGATATATTTCATGAGATGTAATTACTCAAATTTTACTTTGAAACCTCCTGGGAAAAATACCTAAATTTTTATTAAAAGTTTCTTTTGTTTTGGTTCAGGCACCATCACGCTGCATGTTGGCTGGTTCTGATTGGCTACCTTCTGGATTTGGCAGATGGAGCAGTTGCCAGGCAACTCGATGCCTGCTCTGCGCTGGGTAAGTGGAGTGTTGTTGTCTGGAGCTTCTACCAAAGATAAAGCCTTGGCTCGGGTGTTGGCAGGGCTCGCTGCACAGTCTTTTGTCTGGACTTTGCAATCGGGCCGCTCAAAGTCATAAACAACAGTAAGTAGGAGAAGGAAACGCTGCCACTGAACACTCTGGATAGTCAAACAAAGTAGATACAAAGTATGAAATAGAAGAATCCTACATATTTAATGGGAGGTAATTTGAGCTTCATTCAAAAGCAGCATTTTTAGCTTATCTTATATTTTTGATTACTCCACATGTAATATTATTTTCAGTCTTTTATTCAGTGTGAGTGGCATGGCATTCCTTTTTGTGAGGGGCACACAATGCAAATTATGAAACAACATGATTATGCACAGAACATGAGATGTGGCTTGATTTAAAAATATCTCAGCATTGAATGTATTAAACAAAGAGGCACAAATAGCTGTTGTAAAAAGCTTCAAGTGGGGAAGTTCAAATTTTCACTGGAGCCCAAAAAAGCTCTCAGGTGCATCACAATACATCGTAGGCTGCACATTTCTGGGGGCTTTGTGGCCCGTCAGGGTTTTTCTGCATGACCTTGCAGGTGTATGTTGTTGTGTCCCCCACCGCGTATCTCTTTTTTTTTTTTTTTTTTTTTTTCAAATGAACAATCACTTACTGATTAAGCAGCCTAATTCCACAGGATCACCCTCCAATTGTCTCTTTTATCCCGTTGCTTTTGCTTGTGTGCATATCTGAAATTGCTAAAATTGTTGACCCCGGACTGTGGAAATCCACCTGTCATTCGGGCCGGGGCCTGAATCACCTCATCCGCTGAAAACATGCTGTGTGCTCCAAGGGGATAAAGAGACGAGGCAGTTGAGAATGTTGTTTACAGAATGGTTGCCCGTAGGGCGGGCTGTAAAATTTCCACTGGGATATTTTTGCCCGACGCATCCCACTGTGGGTGACATAGTCCGCTGACCATGCCAGACTTTGATAGAATTTAAACTCGTGATTCAAGTCACTCTCGGATTTAAGGAGGCTTAATAATAGAACAGTTTGAGCTCTTCCAAAGCCAATTATTCTGAATATGTTTCAGACCCAAACAATTTGAATGACCTTTGACCACATTTGGTGTTAGCATTTGCCTTTAATCGTGTTCAGGTGCCAAGCTGGATGATTTTGCTGACTTCACGACCTTTGGGATTGCCACCTCATTGCTCTTAAGGACATCCGGCCTGCTGGACAACATCCTGTGCGTTTGTTACGTCTTGTCTGTTTTCACCCGCCTGTGCTTCTTTACAAGTGGTAAGTCCCCATATGAATGGTTACCTTATACCGTACGCCGGCTATTTAAAGGAGCTACTGGAGATGTGTTCTTGCTTGGTCCTTAGGGATCCCCTTCATGTATCGCGGCCTGCCCTGCATCTACTCCGCCGCCATTCTGGCCAGTGCATCTCTGCTGTCGGGGGAGAACCTGCCCATGCTGCGGGTCATTGCCGTGTTCATGATCCTCTTCATGATCAGCCAGACCTTCTACCCCCACGACAGAGTGCTGGAGTCCCAGGCCTGGAAGAAGGCAGTCTATGCTGGAGGTAAAGCTGCTCAACACAAAATCCACAGTGATTCACGTCTCTCTCCAACAAGAGCTAAGCGTAACGGCTGCATATGATAATAATTCATATTAGGAAAAGCTTCAACAAGCTTAGATATCAGCTACAACATTGCATGCTGTAGCGGCATCTAGCCATGTGGATATTTTTGGTAATCTGGGCTTTTTTTTGTTTGTTTTTTCTGACAATACATGCTGTGTTTTTACTCTTAACATCTGACTACACTTCTTTTTGTTATTTTCAGGAATTGTCATGCTGTTCTGCTCATCCTTCCCCCCTGCATGTGTGTACTATCTGCTGTGGTCCGTCTCCTACATTTTGTTCCCAACATCCCTCTGGAGCAGTAAAGTGTAAAATGGGTGCTGGCTTTGTCCAAAACTCCCATGTAGGTTTGCTTCTATGGCCCGTCTGGGTGAACTGAGGCTCCCAGACTGCTGCTGCTCCCTACAGCCATGGAGGATCCAAGCTGAAACATGCTCATGTTCCACAGGCGAACACTCGCTCTATTTGACCTTTATTTTGACGTGACACCTCTAAAACAGAGCCCAGATCCGAGAGAGTTAAGAGTGAGCGATGAGAAGTGCATTTTAACGTTACTAAAGTCATGAAAGTTCATGCTGTTTTATGTCTACTGCAAGTCACATAGCTTGCCCCACAAAGGTTTATCAGGTTCGTCTCCCTTGTAATCTCCAGACTTCAATAGTTCTTTCATCAGTGTTGTGAACACGCAGCAGCAGCAGCAGCGCTCATTATTTTCTCACAGAATGATAAAAAAAAAAAAAAATGATTTCCAACTAATTATTCCACATTTTAATAGATGTTGGCTTCTAACTTGGTTTTTAAAAAGTTGAATTGTGTAATCACACAGGATCATAACTCTTAACATGATGCGCATGGGTTAAGTAACTATTTGAGTGCCACGGTATGTAGGTAAAGCCTTTAATCAGTCATACGCAAGATTTCTCAGACAAAGTTTTGCCAGATTTAAATTCCATGTCCTTTCTGCTTTATAACACAGCAACAGGCATTCATACAAAACTATTACTATTTTCATGTTAACTGTTTATGTTTTTATCAGGTTTGAGGTAACTTCACTTTCACAGCATTCAGGTCAGAGTGTGGGTTTTCCACTTCGTAGGGGCATAAAATCCAGTGACTTACAGTAAGAAACCTTCGAACCGAATGGTGCAGTCATTCCTTATATTAGATTTGCTGTGAGAATGTTTTCAAAATGCTTCCATATTTCCCCTTGTGTCATTTTATTTGGTCATTGTATGTGTTTGCCTCTGTTTTAGGAGGCGTTGCACGGCCCTCGCTGCAAGTTCTTTCTCCACCTTAAAGGTGTCTTGTTGTTGCACTACATGATCACTACTAGTGGTGGAGCAGCAATGGCACGTAAAACCGACGAGGAAGGAGAGTTTAAGTGTGTTGGTAATCTTTAACTTGGACAGTATTCAGTCGGAGGGACACCACCTTGTTTGTAAAACCTGTTTCACAATGTGTAATTGTGCCTCCTCGCATTGGGTGTGTGACAAATGCTGAAATTATACAGTGTATCCATATTTCATTTTGAACTCCACACTATCTGAAGACGGTCATCTTTTAGCTTGTAATCTGATATGTAGAAATAAAAGGTATGACATCACCCGCAACTATACTTGTGAATTTAATGATGCTTTAAGAATTTCAACCCGGAAGACATGAACTTTTGCATTAAATTTGTTTTAAAAATCTTTGTTAAGGAGACATATAATGGAGACTGTTATCTGAATGTTTCCCTCATAGTTTTCTGAGGGAAAAATCAAGGCAGAATTTCCATCATGAAAATGAAACACAAACGGCCGTGTATTCTGGTACTGATATGGATCTAAACCCACTGTGGATCTTGACCTGGTTACAATAACCAATGTTGTGAAAATAAACATCTGAAGTGTAAAGTGCATAATAGGGCTGGCGCTACGTTTTCTATCCCGATATACGTCATCTGATATCCCCAAAGCGATCCAGTATGTCACAACAAAGCATGTTAGCTCAAAAAATATTCTGTATGAACTAAGCACATGGTAATGCCATGGGTCAATGGAATACTTGACAAATTAAGAGTACTGTGTATTTTCCCATTTAATTAAGAACATGAGTGTAAAATATTCTGAAAAGTTTTGTTACTATGTGCTTGTTATCCTTAAGATGTTTAGACAACATAGTCGCGTATCGTGGCAGCTCGATATACCTTTTAATAATGATTCGATTGCGTCAAAAGACGCCCGGCCCCTATACTGAACACAGATCTACGTTGGTACATTCTGCTTTCCTGTGTGGGTGTTTTGGTTTTCAAACTGTGGAGCCACAGCAATGTACGCATGTCAAGAGCATTACTATTACAAAAGTTGTTCTTTGCCCAATGAATAAAAAAATCTAAATGAATGTGTACTTTTACTGTCTGTACATTTCTGATAGGAGTTAATAAGGAAATTACTTGTTTTCAATGTAATGTGGTGCAGCGTAATTTTCATCAGAAATGTTATATAATATTAATACTCTTTCTTTAGTGTATAATTAACTTAAAACCATACAAGTTATTTATCGGGTTTCCTTTAGCTTAGACTCTCCAACATAGGGAGAGGGGAGTCCTCTACACGTCTCTACAGGAGCCCGGAAGGGATAAAATAAAAATACTGGTCGTAGCTGCTTGCACAGGAAAGGATTTGCATAACAATTTGCAACCTCTACAGATTATGCCAATAGTTCCTGCACACTGATCCTTTCCATTTTGTCGCTTTTGGCACAGTGGTTGTCAACCTAGTTGTGCTTAAGAATAATAAAATATGCAAAACAAATAGAATATTGTTTAAATTCTCATATGGTTCAAAGTTCTCATGTCTACACACAGAGGAGCCACTCTGCAAACTGTGTAGCTTCAGGCTGGTTAGTCAGCAAACGCATCTGTTTTTGATTACAATTACAATATACTTTGATCAGTCTGGCCCCTGTGCCTCTGAAGACACAGGTGATTTCTTTCCATACATACAATTCTGTACTGAAGAAGTGTCAGGGTGATGATATCAGTATGTATTGCAATATTTGCGTTGTGTTAAACTTACAGCAGATGGAGAGTGAGAGATCGTTGCTGCGTCCGTGAGGAGCCGCTTCCATTTGTCAGCTACGAGAGACGTGGCACGGTAATATCAGCAGGTATAATTAATAAGTCACGTAATTGCTACATGTTATTCTAAAGTTTTCCAACCTTAGGTTACAACAAACACATTACAACCTAAAATATAAAATGTAACAAATGCAGTAGGTTGAATAATACCAATACTGCAGCCTGTCGTGGTTGCTCTGGTCTATTGTCGTACACTTTTATCTTGTGTTTGCTGTGTATTGGTTTTGTGTATACGTTGTGTTTGTGGAAATTAGCCTCTCTGGCTCACTTACACCTGTTTATTAGTTAGATTAGTGTGCATTTTCCCTACAAAATAAATGAATAAATGCCAAGGTGGTTCATCCTTTTGGAAAATTGGCTCAACTTTGTCCGTCCACTTGTGACGGAGTCAGTCTGATAGTTGACCAAATGTTAATCATTAACAAATCCCCAGTAACATGTGTATTCAGTTTAAGCACCATGTAGAAAACACTCTGTTTCAGGAAGAGAAAAGCATATTGTTTAGATTAAAATAACACACAAAAAGATTAAAGCAATACATGCAATGAAAGTCCGTGTAAAAGTGCATATGCTGTTTTTAATTGATCTGGTATCAAATACTAGGACAGCAGCTCGGGACCAGATGAAACCACAAGGGGGCGGACCTGCGCAAGAAATGGCGTCCAACAAGGAGCAGAGTCCTCGGCTCAACGAAGCCAAATAAGCGCACGTTGTAGTGCACAGAAGGAAGAACACATTGGACAAATTGCTTACAAATTAGTCGACTATGACAAATTTGCAGAAAGCATTTCCTACATGAGTAAGATGAAAACAGCGGGGGGGGTGGGGGGGAGGCGGGCCCTCCGCTTTGCTTTAACACGCCGCGGAAACCAAATCCAGCGCGTCTGAATCACACAAGCCCCGCCTCTCTCAATGTCTTATTGGTTCAACGGTGACGCTTTGGGACAATCCCCCAATCATCCGATTGGACCGAAGCTCCTGCATCCAGGAAAAGCAACACGGAAAAAAAAGATCAGAAAAAGTTATGGAGTGAAGCCTAATCGGATCACGTCTGTTGCATGGATGCGTATTTTTTATTAATTTTTTTCTTCTCAGCAAAAACGCGTTGAAGGGCACCGAGCGCGTAACCGGAGAACGCGCTGCAGCGCTGCAGTCGGGTACGGTTGCAGATTACCGATCCGACCGAGTGCCAGGTATGTTTTCCCGTTTCCAAGGACCGCCTTTGCTGACGTCACCTACTAGGGGGGAAGAGGATGAGGAGCAGGAGGAGGAGGACAGGTGCGCAGAGTAAAGTTGACTCCGGTATGCTCGGATTGGTGAGCTGTCACTGAAACAACGGAGCCCGGATTCTCTCCCCAAAGTACTTTCTTCGGGCAGTCAAGATTGCCCGCTATCTTCGGAAGGCGCCTCAACGTGGAATATACACACCCCACGCACCGGATCCGTCCTGCCCTGTGTGACCGGGGGTCGTAACGGGTGTGCAGGAAGCGGCTGTTGTGCACCGCTGTGAACTGAGGGTGTGTGTGTGTATGTGGGGGGGGATCGAGACGCGCCGGCACCAGAACCAACACTCCCCTGCTACAATGCGACACTGACGCAGCTGATCACAGCTCGATCGCCAGACAGGTGACGCTCGAGTAATCGAACGCAAGCATCGGTCATCGACGGAGGGGGGTTCGACCTGAAAGGAGATACGTTTGTTTACCCCGGCATGGAATACAGCGCGGGAAACCCGCCTCAACTTCTTTAATCTGCGATGATTTCCCCGTGCGTCACTGCGTCCTAGGTTGCGCGTTGAAAGGACGATCGTTCCTTGGACACCCCCCCCCCGACACCCCACCCCGGGGTTTCACGATCTCCACCGACAACATGTCCAAGACGCTGAAAAAGAAGAAGCACTGGTCCTCCAAAGTGCAGGAGTGCACCCTGTCGTGGGGGGCTTCCGGGGAGCTGGTCTCCGTGGTGGAGGTGAGCGGCGGCGCGGAGCTGGGAGAGTTCCCCCACCTTGGACACGTAGTGTCGGAGGCGATGGTGTGTCACGTCGGGAGGTTCCCCTGCAGCGGGGACGTGCTGCTGGAGGTGAACGGCACCCCGGTGAGCGGACTGACCAACCGGGACACGCTGGCCGTCATCCGCCACTTTCGGGAGCCCATCCGCCTGAAGACCGTGAAGCCAGGTGTGTGTGTGTGTGTGTGTGTGTGTGTGTGTGTGTGTGTGTGTGTGTGTGTGTGTGTGTGTGTGTGTGTGTGTCCACGAGTCAGCACCCACAACGTGTTTTTCAGATGGTTCTGTCTCCATCAATCATAAATAAGAGGGACTCTCAGCTGAGCCCTTGAGATGTGTGTGTGTGTGTGTGTGTGTGTGTTTTCCGCCGTGTCTACGTGCGTGCGTCCTATTCCACCCATTGCGTTTGTTATTAAACGACTTTATGAGCAATCGATGCACGCTTCTTCCTGCCTCACAGACTCCCCTAATGTGTGTGTGTGTGTGTGTGTGTGTGTGTGTGCGAACATACTGGCAGTGAGACTGTATTAGTCATGTTGGACAGAAGGTATATATAATTGCGTGTGCTTATACGGATGACTGGATGAATGGATTTGATAAAGTCAGCGTGGAGCTTTGCAAAGACTTAGCTCAGCTTTGTTAATGGCTGGCCGCGCCGGCTCAGTCTGTGTCGGCCTGCTTGCGTTTAAACGTGATCCCAAGTCTTAATTCAATCAATTGGGTCCTTATCTTTAAATCCTGCGGGATACCCTCTGCGAAGTGGACCGGCCCTCTTGGCTGTATACCTAATACGGTCTACCTGTTGATTTAGGGTCAGTGGGTGTGGTTGCACCAAACTTTTTGTTTGTGTTATGTAACGGTGTATTGGGATGCTCAAAGCCAAACTTTGGCGTGCACAGGCCGCCCTACCATTGGCTCCCCGGGGGCCCTCGCCGTGTCTTCACGTCTCCGTCCTCTTCCTCGTGAATAATTCAGGGATCATCCATCATTGATGAGGTGGCTGATGGGTGGGTGACACGATGGCCGACTGGTGGTGCATATGAACTTGTGAGATTGGAACGTTGGGAGCGAGGATGAGGGCCGAGCGTCAAAGGTTTGGTCCAATGTTTTGTACGTCCGTCTCCAAGGAAACAACAGCTGTGGGCCAAAACCAACTTTGCTCAGCCTGAAAGCAGAGAATTTACTTTATTTCACTGTGACGCCCCGTTGGATTTTATCCCCCGCTCCCTCCGCGCGGCCCGGTTTGTCTCGACTTCATCTCTTCCCCCTCAGCCGATTATGCCTTATCATCACAGCTTGCCATTCCCGCTCTCCTCTGGTATTTTCTCTCGCCTTTTGCCTTATTATCATATATTGTACACTGATTCCCACTCCTTCCCATTCCATCCCACCACCAGCACTCTTCTCTTTTTATTTAACGAGCCACTTCATGCTCTAAGTAAATCTAACATCTTTTGAAGTGTTCCTCCACCTCTCCTCTGAACCAAATTTTGTTCGCCGGCCATGACAATTACACCCGAAGCTTCTAAACCAAACATGTTTTTTTATGCATTGGCTCTTGGCGCCCTGCACCGTCAGGACAGAGAGCAGAAGTTGGCCTGTAGTGGTCCTCTGGCTGAAGACCAGCCGATGCACTCAGTATGCAGCTCTCATCCGGGGAGAGGAGCGAGGCAATGGGCGGTAACCTTGAGGGGGCAGTTGAGAGCAGAGGCGTGGTGATACAGAAAGCTATTGCGGGCTGGAGACACTGGAGACTGAGTGCGCAGGTCGTTGATTAACGCTGTAAACAGACTTGGATCTTTTTGTTTTTACCTCAAGGAGCTTCATGGATGGACAATTCCTTATAATTCTCAAAGATATAAATAGTGTTAATGATATACTAGGATGAGAATGGTTCACATTTTATGGTGTTACTCCAGAGATTATAGCAGGGCACAGTGGCTGAATACATTTCTGAAGGCAAGGTACTGATAAAAAACACTTATCACTGGTTAGTTATTGTTTACTGTGGTGTAGAGTTCATCCTTGTGAAGTTAAAAACTGAAAAAAATGGTGCTATCTTTGATTACTTAAAAAGCCCCTGCTTCCAGAATCCATTGCTGATGCATTTCCCATGCAGGTTGTCTGCTGTTCACACCAACGACAATGAGAACTGATTTCATTAGCAACCTTCAACCTCACGTGCTAATTCACTTTTACCGTTGCGCGAAGATTACGCAATCTCAAAATCAGTATCTCTCCTTTTCCTGTCGCTGGT